ATGTATATACTTATATTTATATATAAATATAAAATGTCAGAGAAGATCAAGTAAGAGGTGTCCTCTTACTTGATCTTCTCTGACATTTTATATCTTCCTCAGACTGAAATTGAGTCTTATCGATTTAGTTATGATGCCGCGGTGCCTTAAAACATTTCCTTCTGTAAAGACAAATACTAAAAACATAGAGAAGACTTTAAAAACATAGAGAAGACTTACTAACTGGATGAATGTTGACCATGAATGCATCGTTGTGATTAAAGCCACAGCTATGACCTCACAAATGAAACTGTTGTTGCGGTTTGTTAACCTTTTGTGTATCTGAATTTGTTTTGGCAGAAGTGGCAGGACATCATTAAGGAAGTCAAGTTTTTGGGACAGCTGCGACACCCAAACACAATTGAGTACAAAGGCTGCTACTTGAAAGACAACACTGCCTGGGTCAGTGGATCCTTCTCCTGATCCTGTCTTAGTTCTCTTCTCTTTAGGTCTGGTTAATGTGCCCTGTTCAGCTGTTCCATTTCATGTTCTCTATTTTTATTATTTTGTATTTCCTGTCCTTGTGTTTTTCCACTCACTACGATTGGGTCTGAGAGAAACATTACATTTTCACAAACTTGACTTTAAGCTTAAGTGTACAAAGTACTTTATGATGCAGCACATGCCATTCGAGTCTAAAGTCATTTGGTTTGTGCTTCATTTTCAGCTGGTGATGGAGTACTGTCTGGGCTCCGCATCAGATTTACTAGAGGGTAAGTATTTTATGTTTTTAATTCTTTTAACACAATTTTTAAAGAGGATTTGATACAAGTTGTCCTCTGTGCAAGTACAGAAAACAAATGTGGAGTCAAAGTCAGAGCACAGCTGATACATCTTTAGAGGTTTTCATAAAACCAAAATGCAAAGATCTAGCAAAGTAGATCACACAACTTTATTCAATGGTTCTATTTATCACTTTTCTGATTTTTGTGTTGCTGGTTTCATGTATATAAGAACACACAGGTGTTACTTTGGGTTGTGTGAGTTTTGAAGTGTTAACTTTGTCAGCTTGCAGCATACTTCATGTGCAAATGCTCCAGTCAGGCAAGATCACGGTTTGGCACTTAAGGCCTATGCTGTACACATTTATTTTTTCCTTTTTCTTATTGTTTGATGGTATAATTTTGATAATTTTACCATGTTCAAAACCAAAACACAACTGTATTTTGGTAATTCTGCATCTCTGATGTCTTAGTTTAACATGTAACAAGTGTTTGAAGTTGTACATTTGAGAAAAGAGGAAGTCTTTCTGCTTCATTTGTTTAAAGTCTTAATGCTAAGCTTAGCACCTAATGTAAAAGTTGAATTCTTAGTAAGTTAAGGGACTAAAACTATCAAAAATTATAATAATAAAACTCCCTCTTAACATGATTTTTTTAATGTATATTCTTTAAAGTGTCTGACTTTAATTATACAGAATCTTTATGCGTGATCTTTGTCACTTTTGAGGTATTTTAACACGAGTTTTGATGGAAAGTCTTGTTTGTTATTTAAAAATTGAAAGTTAACTTTCTGATTTCTACATCAGATATTCAGAGCCCAATTTCCACCCAGTTTTTGTGCACACAGCAAACTGAGTTTGGATTTGAACGTCTCAAACATGAAAAAAGAAACTTTTAGGACTGCATCATATTCCATTTGACTTTGCCTTTTTGTGGTGTGAATGCACATCTGCAGGTTATATAGACTGTTGGTAATACTTGGGAGAGGATTTAGTCAAATCTGCTCCAATCTGAGCTTTAATGTTGAGCTGTTCAAACTGGTGTAGAAGCAAGAAGTTAGGGTAGATAACTGCTTAGTGGGTGCTTTTATTTTAAGTGTAACTCATGATCAGCGCAGACTAATTTAGACTCTGAATGAACACAACAAATGAGCTCAGTGAACCTTTTTGATGCTCGGTTATTTAGGGTCAAACCCAACCCAAGCAGTAGGTGGTGGTTGGGGGACTTTTCAGAACCAGTGGGTAAAGATCTTCAAGCTCCTTCTATTTACTGGTAGCTCTTTGAATTTTATGTACATGAACTCTGTTTTAAAAATAACCATAGTGTTGCACTATGAATTTTAGTTTCCTCTAGAACTGGTTTTATGTGATGATGAGGGCCCTCTTCTAGAAGGTGGTTTTGAGTTTTCACATTCATTAGTTTGTGAAGTTTACTTCTTGGCAGAGACTTTTCGAACATAGTCTATGCACTGGAAATACAAGATAAAGTCAGTTTAATTTATTTTTGCTTCGTCTGAATTTCAGTAGCTGTCACTTTGGTTGGCCCTGTCGCTGTTTAAAGTGCTCTATAAATAAAATGGTATGGTATGGTTCATGAACATGACCATCATATAACATGAGGAACTGCTGCTATCAGATAGAGGCTGCCCCTTTCTTTTAAAACCTCAACAAACCTCATGTTCTCTGGTTATTTCCTGTGGTTATTAGCTTCATTTTGTGAACAAATCAGTATTTAATCTGTGATTCCAGTGCATTTTCATAAACACAAGGGAAAGATCAAACTCCTACTAAAATTAAAACAAGATAAGACAAAAACAATGAAATCTATTCAGTCTGAACTGTGTTTATAGGTTTAAAATCTGATGCACTCGGTTTCTTAAACGGTTTACCCTTTAACCATATCAGAACTGAAGCCAGTGTGTCATTTAAAGTACGTATGTGCAGACACATGACTGACAAAGTGTACATTGACTGTTGCCCTTGACCTATGTTTTAGGAAATTTAGCCCTTATATAATTTCTCATTCAAAGTTCTAATGATCCATTTACAAATAACGGTTCTAAAATTACAGAGTGCAGACATGCATGTTATTTTTATCACAGATACAGAGCTGCTTTTAAAACTGAATTCTTGGTCCAAAATCAAGCATCAAGTCTGCAGCTACACCTTGATGTGTCTTTAAATGTATTACTGTAAGAGCTGAAACTTATTTTTACTGCATTCATTTTTCCTCTAGTTCATAAGAAACCACTCCAAGAAATGGAAATTGCTGCCATTACCCACGGTGCCTTGCTAGGATTGGCTTACTTACATTCCCATAATATGATTCACAGGTGAGTCTGTTCTCTTTCTTGCTTCAAATATTCCCGTTATGACCAGGTGGTGAATTATTCAAAGAATGTGATAAGATTAGTTGACACTCCTGTTTTTCCTTTTATTGGAGAGTTCAGTTATCTAGCTGTAAAACTTATGTCCGTAAACTTTCTCAAATATCTTTCTTGGCAGGTTATAACCATCCACTGTCACTGTTATATTTTACGTCAGGAAGATTACTCGTGGGTTCTTTTGATTGCTGTAACTTTAAATTGTTAAAATGAACATTAGCCATGTAAAATCTAAGTGGTTAATAAAAGGTAACTGGATAACTTGACGAAGAAGTTGAGTTGCCTTTTATTTTACCACTTATAACTGTCATATCCTGGATGACTCAGAATCTGAACATGTATTGTGAACAGTGTGTACGTTTGTGAATATACACAACCGACATCAAATGTATCACAGATCTTTAAATGAAGATATTCATCTGAAGATATGTGACACATTGGATTCATTTTTCATATTTCACAACCTAGCTCTTAAATCAAGTTCAACTATCTGGCATAACACAAAGTTATCCATCATTTATTTCTCCTTTTTGGTGCTTTGTCCTAACATTCTTTGCTCTCATTATTCCCCTCTTTCTGCCCAGAGATGTGAAAGCTGGTAACATCCTGCTAACTGAGCTGGGTCTAGTCAAACTGGCTGATTTTGGCTCTGCCTCCATTGCCTCACCTGCCAACTCCTTTGTCGGAACACCTTATTGGTCAGTATGTACAACCCAAGACACAACATGTAACTCAAAACAGAATTTATCATTTTGAGATTACCAGTGTAAATTTGAAAATGTTTAAACCCAAATATTTGAATTTTAATGACAAATTTCTAGACACGATCTAGCTGCTTACATCACATTTTAGTTATGATTGTTCTAGGTGAGCTATTAAGATTATTAAAAATATAGGACAAGTTAATTTGAATACAAACATTTCATGGTAGTTTAATATGTGGACTATATCCTTTGTTTGCAAGTAAATATATTCTAATACACTGCCTGGCAAAAAAAAAAATAGTCACACACTAATATTTCGTTGGACCTCCTTTAGCTTTGATTACATCATGCATTCACTGTGGCTTTGTCATGCATTCACTGTGGCTTTGTTTTGAAAAGTTTCTGCAATGTCACAAGATCTATTTCCATCCAGTGTTGCATTAATTTTTCACCAAGATCTTGCATTGATGACTAGGCACTAGTCATGATGGGTGCATCACTTCACCTGCCTGTCTTCTTACCCTGATGCGCCCATCACTCTGGAACAGGGTCAATCTGGACTCAGACCACATGACCTTCTTCCATTGCTCTAGGGTCCAATCTTTATGCTCCCTAGCAAACTGAAAGCTTTTTCTCCAGTTAGCTTCACTGATTAATGGTTTTCTTAAGGCTACACAGCTGTTCACTCCCAATTCCTTGAGTTCACTTCACATTGTGCATGTGGAAATGCTCTTACTTTCACTATTAAACATAGTCCTGAGTGCTACTGTTGTTTTTCTTCCGTTTGATTTCACCAAATATTTAAGTGATCGCCGATCACGATCATTCAGGATTTTTTTCCGGCCACATTTCTTCCTCGAAGACGATGGGTCCCCACTATCTTTCCAGTTTTTAATAATGTGTTGGACAGTTCTTAACCCAATTTTAGTAGTTTCTACAATCTCCTTAAATGTTTTCTATGTTTGAGGCCAATGATTTGACCCTTCTCAAACAGACTGACATCTTTTCACGACCACGTGATGTGTCTTTCAACGTGGTTGTTTAAGAAATGAGAAGCAACTCATTGCACCAGTTGGGGTTAACTTGTTGCAGCTGAAAGATAATCACCCATGCAGTAATTATCCAATAGGAGACTCGTACCTATTTGCTTAGTTAACTTCAGGTGGTGACTTTTTTTTTTTTTTTTTTTGGCCAGGCAGTGTATATGAAGTAAATTAGAAATTATATTTAAAAGTAAAGGTAAATTTATCCTTTTTTTTTTCTGTTTGGTTAAAGTTTGCTACATGGAAGTAATCATTCCTGAAGTTTGTAAAGAAACGCTTTCCTTTACTCATATTGTTAGTTTTCAACTCACTACTGTTATTATTGGTGTCTTTTTTTTCCCATTACACGTGTCTTAAACTCTGTTTTCATGACAAAACAGTAAATTAGTGGCTTAACAGTGATGCATGTTTAATATCTGCAAAGGATTTGGATTCATCACTAAAATAATGTACACCGTTACATTTTATCCTGTCTCGTTTTTCACAAGTAAAACTGTCGAGTTACCCTCCCAAGATTTTCACTCACACCCCTTTGGCATTTTTGATGGTAAATTAAATCATCTCTGAAATATTTGGACTGGTTGTCACATGCACAAAAGTTGTTGCACACTCGTTTGTGGAAACATATTCCAAAATCTGAGCTGCTATCACAGCATAGCAGAGTCTTAAAAACCTCAAAGAAGCTTAACAGATTATAACATTTCCATGGATCCTATGCCCCCCCCCCCTCCATATTTAACAGTGAGTGTGGATATATGTGATGATGCATTTATGTGGGAATCTTTGTGTTCAGGATGGCTCCAGAAGTGATTTTAGCTATGGATGAGGGCCAGTATGAGGGGAAAGTGGACATCTGGTCTCTGGGGATCACCTGTATTGAACTAGGTAAGCTGATACCTCCTCACTAGTCAAAGAAGTCATTGTTTAAAATGTTTAACATAACATAAATACATTGCCTGTACATACATTGACTTGCCTGTGATTCTGAGGCCTCACAGAAAAACTGATTTGTCATTTTGGAAACTTTGACACTAAAAGCACACCAGGTATCTTACGCTCCCATCTTTTCTTCCATCAGCGGAGCGTAAACCACCTTTGTTCAACATGAATGCCATGAGTGCCTTATATCACATCGCACAGAACGACTCTCCCACGCTGCAGTCAAATGAGTGGTGAGTTCAAGTTTCCAAACGTTTCTGAATAGAACGCTTATCTTGCACCGTTTTTTACATTATGACCTAAAAACATTCCCTGCAAATGCTGTCCAGTTTTGCTTAGGTTTTGTTGCTCAACATGATGAACTATATTTTCAATTCAATACAGTTTATTTATATAGCGCCAAATCACAACAAAGTTGTCTCAGGGCATTTTACAGGAACATTCACATACATAAAAGCCAATTAGTAAAGTTCTCTATCTAAGGAACTATATAAACCATCTGACTTCAAACAACACTATCCCTTAGACAGAACATAATCATAGCAACCGTGAAAGTTGAACCGCAGTCCAGTCTACTCCGTCCAGATAAGACACCTCTGTGTCCTGTCAGCACTGCAACAGGCCTCGTGCAAGGTCTCACTGAGATTTATTATGTAACCAAGTGCAGAAAACCTCTTCAAAACAGGCTGCATATTTAATCTTGTGTTGTTGTCGTCAACAAAACAACTGAATGTGATCATTCTAATATTATTCCACTAAATAAAATACAATCTGCTTTCTTGTTAGATTAAATGATGGTCTGCAACACACAGATGAGTTCATTTTTTCTGGGCCTTCTGCAATATTTTATGCAGCTTTGAACCTTACAGCTCATGACTGTGAATGCTAATAAATTCTCAAGGGACTTTCCTTCCAGACATTTTTTTTTGGCTATTTAATTTAGACCAAAAGTTTTCAAAACAAGCCTTTACGTTCACTTTGCAACCTCACATCATCCCTCCTAATAAAAAATTTGGCTTTGATCATCAGTGCTGCCTGATATGTTTTTTTTTTTTATGCTAGACTTTTCTGATAATTAAAGAAACCTTGTGCAAACTAGTTTTTATATTTTGTTTCTTTGTTAAAAATGCTTTTTGTCTACCTTTTGCAGCGATTATTAAATTTTATTTTAAAAATTGTAGGAAAAAGTACTTTATATTTGTTTTTTGCACTTTAAGATTTATGAATGCGGTTACCCGTAATATGGAAATGATTTGGGTTAGCTACTGACTGAAGACAAATCCTTTGTTAAATCATCATGCATGTAAAACTTCCATACAAACAATTTAAGTGATCATGGTATCTGTATCGGCCGATATTAGTGATAAAGTTAAATATCGGACATTGGCCATTCCATTAAAATAACTCACCGATATAAAAGGCTCTGTTTTTATACAGTTGTAGACTGTTCAGTGTTGTCATTGTGTTAGAGAGAGTAAATGTCATGAATAAATTTGACATTAAACATAATCCAAGTTGAAGTGTTGCATCATTTTCAGGCTTCTTTTTGGCATCTGCATTTGGTAGCAGGCCAAAGTGACAAAGAGCATGCAGATTTTTTTTTCTTCTTTCGGCTGCTCCCTTCTTCATGGGTCGCCACAGCGAACTAAGTCGCACGAAGACTTGGCAATTGTTTTTACGCCAGATGCCCTTCCTGACACAACCACATACCACTGAGCTACCACAGCCCTCTGTGTGGAGAAGAGAGCTGCTATGTAGGGGACCCGGGGCAGCATATGGTGGGGGTTAAGGGCCTTGCTCAAGAGCCCAGAGTGGGGCAAATAAGGGTGGAGACAGGTGTGGGAGTTTCACCTTTCCCACCCACATTTTGATGTTGTCTGTACCGGGAGTTGAACCAGGGATCTTCCTATCGCTGGCCCACCTTCTCTAACTTCTGCACCACCACTTCCCACAAAAGCCATGTAGAGTAATGTAGTGTTTTAATTCCACAGCAGATAAAGCTATGTAGTCTCTGTATGTAGGTCTAGGAAAACAAATATCAATATTGTTATTGGTTATCAATCAAATAAGTTTTAACATAGTGGCATATTGGATATTGTCCAAAAGTCCAATATCGTGCATCCCTAGTACTCCTAAATACTCTACAATCTATGTTTTGCCTGTTTCTGATAAACAATTGTTAATGAGTTTTTGCTGGAATAAAAACAGCATTTTCTTCTATAGAATTATTGTTCTACCCTGTTGCTGGTGCATGATTTACTCTACTTTTTTGTAAAGTTTTATTACAGCATCATAAATGAGATGTACAAAAAGCTATTTATTGTTAAAACCTGAGGGCTACAGTTTATTTGCTTTAAAGCAAAGTCAATTTCTCAACTAATCTGATAGTAGAAGATAAAAAGGCTCTATAGAAGTACAGTCCATATAAGTGGGGCGGCTGTGGCTGAGTGTTTAGAGCAGTCATCCTCCAATGCAAGAGTTGGGGGTTCGAATCCACCAGCAGTCACATGTCAAAAGTGTCCCTGGGCAAGACACAGCCCCTCATTGCCTCCGATGTGTGTCCCATCAGTGTATGAATGTGATGAAGCTCTGATTAGTCTCTTTAGAATGATTTGTTCCATTAGCTTTGTAGAGATCTAGTAGAGCGCTGTATGAATGGATAAATGAGGCACAGATTGTGTTGTAAAGCGCTTTGAGTGTCTTGATAAGATAGAAAGGTGCTATATAAGTACAGTCCATTTACCATTTTACCATCTGTTTTGATGTCTTTAAAAAGCACAGCATGAACAGGTCATCAAACATGAGCCATTTTATTAATATTTTAAAGTTATTTTTTGCAATAATCTTGTGCCTGTCTGTGCACATGGAACACCTGTTGTAACACTAGCATCAGTTTCTGGCATTGTGCTGAGGCAAGTGATTGTGTGGGCCTGCACATGGTTGTGGTATTTTTGGAGGGACTCCAGCTGCCTGAGGCCCGAGCAACATCCAGTTAGATAAAACGAGAAGAGACATAAGCTCAGTAGTGTTCGGCACAAAAAATCACAAGACCACGCTGTGTTGGTGTGTCATACAGGCGCACTGTGGACTTGGGTCAACTGCAAAGAGAGGAGTGTTGGAAGTTTAGGTGGAGCGAGTTGGTAGGAAGATGCAAAGCTTTAGAACATGCTGACCCAACTTGACCCTGGATTTGAATATTAATTTTATTAAATTCCTCCTTAGCATCCCCAGCTACTTTGTCTGAACGCCCCGATCACAGGATGTTTTATTCTGTAATGTGCATGGGCATATTTTTAGATGAGTCTCACAGCTTCAGTGGCCTGTATTTTTATTGCTCCACATATTTATATAATCCATAAAGATTCATGTTTTTTTTTCTATTTTAAATAACTGAAATGGTAAACATACAGTTTGAAGTACTCATTAATTTACAGTAGATACAGTAGTTGTGTCTAAAGGGAGGTTGTATTTAGATTATTGTTTTTGTTGTTGGTGGTGTTTAATGTTTTCACATTTGAACATTAGCCTGACCTACATCTGAATATCCTCTTCCCCTCAGGTCTGATGCCTTCCGGAGCTTTGTTGACTACTGCCTACTGAAAATTCCTCAGGACAGACCCTCGTCAGGGGAGCTGCTACGAGTGAGTGGGCTTCCTCCGTTCTCCTGCCAGCTGTGACCTCACTTCCTGTCTCAGTCAGTCCCTGAGCTATGAGAATGAGTCACTCCCATCCACCCACGGCACCCTAATACGCAAGCATATACACAGCGTCTACTTCACACACGAGTCAAGCACCCTGCTGAGAGCTGCTTGTTATTTCTTAGCCTATTGCTTTTATTTTACAGCTTATCTTCCTTTCCCCATGCCTTGAAGCCATGGTCTTTATTAGCAAGCTCGCGTGTGTTTGCTGCCTCCACCTTCCTTTGATCAGGCCACATGCCTATCTTTGTCTTTTTTATATGCATATAGCTTTTCTATGTGAGAGAGTGTTCAAATTTGGAAACAATCCAAGACTTTTTCATCTTTAATGAATTAGAAAAGTCTTATTTTTGACAATTTTTAAAATAAGTGGTTCAACAGTAGAAGCACACCATAGATGACTGAGGAAAGTGAGGAAAATCCATCCATCCGTTAACTTTTACCCACTTCTTCCTTTTTGGGTCACGGGGTCACTGGTGCTCATGTCCAGCTATCAGTATTCGAGAGGCAGGGTGCACCCTGGACAGGTCTCCAGTCCATCACAGGGACACGGAGACAAACAAGACAAGCAACCATTCGCTCTCTCACTCACACCTAGGGGCAATTTAGTTGCCAATCAGCCTAACATGCATGTTTTTGGTCTGAGGAAACCAGAGTACCCGGAGAAAACACGCATGCACAGAGAGAACATGCAAACTCTACTCAGAAAGATCCTGGACTGGGATTTGAACTGGCGACCTTCACGCTATGAAGCAACAGTTCTACCCACTTCACCACCGTTCTGCTAGTGGGGAAAATAAATAAATAAGTGCAATCTAAAAGTGAATCTAAGACTAAAAGCAAAACATATATCACACTTTACTGATTTTATTATTTATTACATTTACTATTTTTAAGTCTTTTAAAAGTATATTCTATATTGACACATACCAAAAAAATAAACCAACTTGACACACAAAGACCCTAAAGATGTTGCTTCATAAGAATAATTTCTACAGTGAAGTTTACCTTCAAGACAAACGTTTACTTTGTGCTCCCCAAACTATCAAACAAAAACAAAATGAAGGCATAATACACAAAATTTGCCTTCAAGAATTTGCTAAATGAGTTTTATGATGACAGAAAAAATGTCCTCGTCATTCCCCAAAACATTTAATCCAGTATATATAAACTGTTAAATGATGAATGTTTGAGTTTTCTTAGTTTCACAGTTTATCTTCTTGTTTGTGTGAGCAGACTAATCCTATTCAGCCACTAAGAGTTTTATGTTCTTGTTGATCACACTAAATGGTTCAGCACTCCGCCAAGGCTTACAACACCATCTTCACTTCGAGGTGGGGCGTGGTGGTTCTGTCGCAGTTATGAGGACCTGGTGACTGTTATCTAAATCGGACTAAGGTTGGGCTTCATATCCTGGTTCAGATTGATTCCAACACCTTTAACCCAAACCCTGACTGGAAAAAAAAAACATTAGAGAAACGAGGGCCGAACAGGTGTTGGATTAGTGTTAGAGTCTACTTTACAGTCAAAGGTGTAGGAGGTTAGCAACTTATATGAATAATATAGTTTCTATTTTTGGATATAAACATAACAACTCTTCACATGACTGCACGCACTCGCCCTTCCAAGCTTTATACAATAAAAAAATCCAGAGGTCTGTGTTTTGGCTTCAGGTGAAATGTTTTCCCCTGTTTATTTCATTCAGGGTAACATTAATTATATAAATAATAAATAAATTATAATAGCTGCTTGGTGACCTTTTCTTGAAAGCCTTCTCTGTTATTATAGACATTTTTTTTCTTGTAAATTAACAGATGAACTTCAAATATTTACAGTTCAACTGTAATTTCCCCAAAGAAGAGTTTGCTTCATAGAAGTTGATTGTTTTAAATCAGAAAAATGGCAAAAACCACATATTTTAGAAGCTGGAATCGGTCACTGTTTGACATGTTTTGTTCATAATTGCCTTAAATAAAGAAGTCATTGTTTGTTATTAACTTTGTCTATTAGTATATGAGTACTAAATAAGAATAGTTACTTTTATAAAGAGTATAAAGGTTGTCTGCTGCAGGCTATATCTTTGTAAAGCTAGCAAAGGTTTGTCCCAAAAATAAATCCTGTGATAGGAAGAAGTTAGTTTAAAACTATTTTAACGTTTTGCCTAAAGCAGACCATAATGAGTATTAACTGTTGAGCTTCAGGACTTTTTGTGTTGAAGTCACAGAAGTTTGGAAAAGTTAGATAAAGGCTATGAATTAAACTCTTATTCCTCGTCTATTTGTGTTTCTCTTTTTTCACCTCTGTCGAGTTTAAAGAGACTTTGTTGTTTTCTGTCTAATTATTTAGAGACCTTGAAGGTGTTTGAATTTTGATAGGCATAAAGGCACAATAGGCAAAATATAAATTTACCAATTGTCTAACTTTTTTTTTTTTTTTTTTATAAAATTGCAAGGGCAACACATTGATGATGCAATCCAAGTAGGAATACCTAACGGAGTACGTCTCAGAGGATGGCTCATAAAAAGCAAGTCATGATACAATAAAAATGGAAAAGGAATTTGTACGAGCCGTGGAAGTGTCGTCACATCTTCCCAACACTTACTTTGTTGTGAAAGAAAATAATTCTCCCCGGTTGAAAATCGAGGCGTACAACCACCTACATTCTGATGTACAGTACGTCCGTCAAAAAACGGGACAAATCACTCTCATCTCTATTTTCAGAGTGTGATGTCACTCCCATGTGTCCTGGCTAACCCATTACACCAGCATCCATCACGAGGTGTGCACTGTGGGAGAGGGGACTACAAATAGAACTAAAATTGTGCTTTTTGTAGTCTATATATATATATATATATTTGATCTATTCTAGTACCGTTGGCTTACATACAGTTCATCCATTAAATCGCTCAATATTTTATGAATGAGAGTGACTCAGAGGAAGCACAAACCTGTCTGTGTGTGAACGTGGCGTTGTGGGAGGATGCGCTGGGGAGAAATCCATCCTGTTTTTTATATTTTTTTAATCTTCACTGTAAAAATATATAATAAAAATAAGTAAAAACACAAACTGAAAACCCCATTCTCTGACCAACCCACCTACTATAACCAAGTAATGTTGTATGGTAAAATAAATCATTATAAAAGAACAGAATGCTCCAGTAATTTACTCCTCCATTAAAATAAAAGGAGTTATTCACATTAAAACAGTTCAAGCTCAGAAATATTATCTTTAAAAAGCTTCAAAGGTGTGGAAAAAAAACACTGTGGAGTGATTGTGAATTTGAATTATTGCATTTTATTGTAGCACACATTTTAAGGGGTATGGTTAATTTGGGGAAATAATTCATGTTTTCTTATCAACACGCTTAAAATGTATATTTAACGACCTTTCATTAGTTTGTTACTTCTTACCAATGATGAAAATGCCTTTTGTTCAAAAAAGAACAAAACTAAAATTGTTCAAATAATTATCCACATTTAATTATCTAAGACTTAATTGTTGTCAATAAATTTTTGTTGAGCAAAAAAAATTTTCAGAAATTAAAGTTAAAAGGATTGAATATGTTTAGAAATATGTTTTCAGATCTCGTGTAATGAGTGGAGGATGTAGAGCTGAGACTCCTGGGATAAGTAACCTACAGGCGCCCTCTAGTGACAGCCACTGTTGTGTTCATAGAAGACTCGAACTAATAAAATACAATAAAATCTTTGCAGACAGGTTTTAAGAATGTTGCTATAAAGTCTAAAATATGGAAGTCCTTGGAACAAGTTCTGTATCACCTAAAGGTTTTATTGTTGTGTAGCTGGGAGTTCTAATTTTTATCATTAAAATCAATCGCACCAGTTAAACGGCACTTCTGAAAGCTTTTTACAAAACAACATATTTATTTTGTTATAATCACGTGCGTGACCTTCTGAAAAGGCTTCAGGATATTTTTTTTACTCATCATTCAGTTCTTAATGATAAAATATGAACACAGAACATGGTTTTTGATCCTGACTCCTATTCTTCCTTTGGTTTCCCTCGCCAGCATGATTTTGTGCGCCGGGAACGCTCGCCGCGCATTCTCATCGACCTCATCCAGAGGACCAAGGATGCCGTGCGTGAGCTGGACAATCTGCAGTACCGCAAGATGAAGAAGATTCTCTACCAGGAGAAGCACAACGGGCCCATGGGCGAAAGCCAGGAGGAGGAGGAGGTGGGAGGAACAGGGTGGACTTGGTGCAAATGACAAATTATTGTGAAAGAGTTTAACAGTAACAATGAGGATAAAACTCAAAACGCTGTTTTTCTTGTTTTCTTTTTACTTGAAATCTTATTAGTGTCAGTTTGTGGCTTTTCATGGGTACTAACTAAAATTAAATTGGCTTTAGTTTGTAAACAAGGATTCTTATGTAAAATAGTCACTTTCTCCAAAATATATAAACGGAGGTAGTGGTAGACATGAAGCAGCAATCTCCTTATTAAATGTTCTAATGTTTTAGTCTGCCAGATGATTAAATCTTTCAGTTTAATATCCAAAAACATGTTTGTTTTCTGTTAATAAAACGGATAAACAAGCAACACATTCAACCATCATGTTGGGATTGAACCCGGACTTAACCAGTTGTTGTACTCTGTAAACAAAGATAATAATCATATTCAGTAAATGTAATATTTGTAAGGTAATCGATTGCTTTTAAACAAAAGCTGCAGATGTCAGTGACAGATTCCAAGAAAGCAACTGTTTAAAGGTTTAACCCATTGAGGATCTCAGAAGATGGTTTTGGATCAGGTAACAACAATGTCAAAGATTACAATTGTTAATCATTTGTCCAGACTGGCCCTCCTAACTGACCTGAAGCTCATTAATATGGTTAATCGGTCTTTACAGTAGCCCAGCATTTCATCATTTAAAATAAAAACAAGAACCTTCCTTTTATTGGTCACGTTAGTCTGAAGATGAAATATCCTGTAGCTCAGTGTCCTCAGTGTAAACTGTTCAGCATGTTTTATATGAAATTTATTCAATAAATTACCTCAACATCTTGTCATGAAGTTCAGCAGAAGCTTATGACCTTTCAGTTTAAACAACATAACAGGAAAGTTGGGCCCTCAGTACCAGGACTGGGAAACTGCCTTAGCTGACATGGCCTGAGGTTGAGTGAACAGTCAGGGTCAGTCGGGAGCTGTAATAGTGTCATCCTACACCATGTGAGTCTAGCCACAGCAGCCAACAGACCTAACTGCAACAAGACACTCGGAACGTACTGCCAGATAGGAGGGTTTTGTGTGGAAGGCTCGTTGAACATCATTCAGGACAAAGACTTTAGATTCAACAGAATTAACTTCTAATTCTAAAAGTGGAGCTGTTCATTCTCCTCATCCACCATCTGTTTAATCAATCTTCTTCTGAGTCTGACCGGCTTCTATGGACAAAGTCACTGATGCAGCTAACACACAAACACATTAGGAAGATGGATTACTTATACTATGACCTAAGATATGTGCTTTAGTAACCTTTTTTACTCCTGTTTGTGAATGTTAGTTTGCACATGCATTCACGAGCACGTGTGGATGTTCTTCTGCAGGACAGTGAGGCAGCGAGCTGTAAGATGAACAGCCTGGGCAGCAACCACTCCATCCCCAGCACGTCGGTCAGCACAGGTAGCCAGAGCAGCAGTGTGAACAGCATACAGGAGGTGCTGGATGACAGCTGCCCCGACATGACCATGATGCAGCCCCAGGACTACAGCACCCCCCTGGACTCTACAGCACACACCAAGAAGGTAAAGGTCCGGGGTGAGGGTGGCGGATGATGATTAAAGGTCTTGTCCACTAAACCAAAGCTGAGATAGCAGTTATCTGAGGTTCCCAAAACTCTTTAGAGACTCAACCATTCATTCTCTAAATGAGCTCATGTTTTGATTTTGTGTTGAGGCAGTGTTTGGTCAGAACAAAAAGTATCTAATGTTGGGATGTTCAAATCCAAACCATCAAATCAGTTTGTTCATCCACAACCTAATCCTTCTTTTAAAAAGACCGACTTCATGGCAACTTTTCATATCGCCCTGCTCAGAGAAAACTAACAAACACCGGCCCAAGTTCAAATTCACTGTGAGATCTCAACTCTGACTTGAATCTTCTTGATATTGCAATAAGTAAACCAAGCAGTTTGTTTGTACACAACACATAAAACTGCTCACAAATGTAGTACAGTAGTCCCTCGCTACTTCGCGGTTCGTTTTTCAGCTCTATCGCCGTTTTTCAAAATAAGATTGGACATAACACACAACTGACTGATTGATGGATGAGCCGCACGATTGGCTTGGGATTTTTATTTCAAATAAATTATTTAGCACTTGCTGCAACTTTGTGCAGCCCATAGTGCAGGTTAACCTTCCTGCCGCAGCTGATCAGCTGATCTCCATGCAGAGTGGAGAAGTAGGCGTGGCCAAGAACACTTGCGGGTGACTGAGAGCAGCGGAGGCAGAGAGAGGGAAATCATGACATTCTGTGCTCTTTTAGAGTGTTTAGAGTTTAGAAACATTGTTTAGAATACTAAAATAAACTACTACTTGTAATGCTATCCCTACTTCACAGTTTTTCACTTATTGTGGGGCTTCAGGGTACAGATCCCCCGCAATAAACAAGGGACTACTGTTTTTGTATTACAACCACATCCTCTCCGAGGTGTTGAATTAACACTTTTGTTTTTAATGAAAAAGGAAACTTGTCTCTGCAAACATCCTCTGGTTTCTCTCACTGTTTTCACAAGTGTGTGTAATCCCCTCCCCACTGAAACCATGGAAACCAGATACACACTTCACTTTTGGTCGATCATTTCAAGTTATTCACTGGCATTGTTCACACTTGGAGGACAAAGGCTACGCATGCATGTCAACAGGCCGTGCACAAGCATCTGTCGTCGTGCACGCACAGGTCAACACTGACGTTCTCAAAGAATATCTGGCATAACTTAAATTTCAGCAAGTAGAGGGCTGTCACTTCTGTCACGTTTTTCAGCTGCTCTTTGTGTTTTGACAGCGCATGAATAAGGCTGTCACTTAATGAGCAGACGGACAATCTGTTGTTCCGACTTTAGGCGCTGAGCAGAAACCGGATCGAAGTGACACGCAGCGTTTTCAGACGCTGATGAGGTTCCCTGATCACGCTGCTTTGGAGGGGTCGAGCGTTTGTATTTTATCGTGTTTCATCAGGCTGAAGATGACACAATTTTGGCAAAGATTTCATTAGGATTTCTGAAGTGGGAATTTAAGTCAATGGGGATTTTTTTGTATTCATGAAGTCATAACTGTGGTGAAGAAAGTCTTCTGGTATCATAAAATGTGTAACTAATTCTTCAATAGGAAAGTTTTTCCCATATTTTTATTTTTTGTTTATCAGTTGTTTTGAAAAAGGGACTGGAATAGTTTCTTATTTCCTTTTCTGTTTTACTCAGGACCATCAGTATAACTGGGATGATGGGATACACAGAGACCACCGACCAGAGCTAAGACCGTCCTCCTCTGACCGAGGCAGCCAGGCACAAAACTACAAAAACCAGGGCCGCTTCGCCACCATAAAGTCTGCATCACTGGTGAGTTTAAATCACTACAGTTACTCTTCATGTTCCCAGATTAAAGTGTCACTGAGATTAAAAATCTTTTCAAGAGAGACAAGAAGGCAGCAAAATGTACAACAAATAAAATACAACTGGTATTCTGCAAATAAAAGAACAAACAGAACATGAACTAAAACCAGAATAGCAACGTTATTAAAAGTAGTCACATGATTATCTCTCCTTTAAAATTAATTAAACGTCCTCACAGTGTAGCCACCTCTGACAATTTCAAGTCATTTTAACTCCAAACTTATTGTAAAGTTGTACTACTAATAATTTTAATAAGGGTACTTTTTTATAAATGTATTAATGTGATATAAATTGGTTATTTGTGAGTTTGTAAACACTATTGAGCATTAATAATCATTTAGAAAATGGGTTCAAACACTGTTCATACAATAAAATAAGCTTAAGTGCTGAACTTTTATTCATTCTGGTAAATGCATTTTATTTATTTCTAATTGAACAACTTACTTTTTTAGTTCAATAATTTTAGATGCCAAAACAAACTTTGTATCTACAAAAAGCTTACACGCAGGTGACTTACTGATAAATGTTTGATATTTTAATCTAAATTATAAATGGTACTGGGCGACACATTGGCTCAGATGGTAAAACTGTTGCCTCTCGACGAAATGGTTGCCGGATCGAATCCTGACTATGGGCCTTTCTGGGTGGTGTTTGCATGTTCTCTCTGTGCATGCGTGGGTTTTCTCCAGGTACTCCGGTGTTCTCAGACCAAAAACATGCACGTTAGGCTGACTGGTAACTCTAAATTGTGCCTAGATGTGAGTGAGAGAGTGAATGGTTGTTTGTCTCGTTTGACTCTGTGTCCCTGTGATGGACTGGAGACCTGTCCAGGGTGTCCCCAGCCCCTCACACAGTGACCACTGGATATGGGCACCGGTGATCCCCACGACGTGGAAAGGAAGAAGCAAGTAAAGATAATGGATGGATGGATATAAATGATGCCAATAAACAAGGTGGAGAGTAAAGATAAATGTTTGCTCACCGTTTAGCGAGAACTTATTCAGTATAGTCCTTTTTTCACTTATTTGTCACAACTGTTTATGTTTTAGACCTTGAAGCCTAGTTAATTACTGTATTATTACCTATGTCGTAGTAAATTGAAAGGGTACCCTTAATAAGATATTGATCCTACCGGAAATTGTTGTGACAGAGTTTCAGTACAAAGGAACATACTCGAGGAATCCCACAAGATTTTAAAATAAGAGAATATAAAAAAAAAAAACAGAGAATATAAACATACCAACAATTAAGGTCCAAACCAGGTCAGGTGCAGACAGAAACATTAATTTATTTTAGTACAGGATTAATTTTATTGTCCCATGTGTAAAAAAAAAAAAAAAAAAAAAAAAAGGGGAGGAGTTGAAAAGTTTGATAGCCACAGGGAGGAAGGACTTCCTCTGTGGAGCACCTCGATGGTCTCAGTCTACGACTTTTATGACGTGTGCTGCTGCTGCCTGGTCTTGGCCGGGTCACCCTTGTGAAAGAGGTCGTGATCTCAGTGGGTTTTTATCTGGTTAAATAAAGGTGCAATAAAATTTTTAAAAAAAGGTGCTGCAGTAAGAGTCCAGCGTGGCATGGGGGGACGTGTTGTTCAGGATCTGGAGCAGTTTCCTCAGCATCCTCTGCTCAGACACCTCTGTCAGAGACTGCAGTACTACTTTAATGGAAAGTAGTACCCAATTATTTTTAGATGTTTTCTTTTGAGATTCTAAGAAGGTCTCTACATACTGAAGGGGTTTTAGGATCGTTTAGTTTTTGGGGGTTTTCCCTTGACTCGGGTTATTTTTTGCAGCCATGATCTCAGAGTGTTTACTCTGTTGTTTATGAAGGCACAGCGTGGCTTTTTTACTTGTTTCTCTCTGTTAGGACGTATCTGTGGGTGTTTGGGTTAATAATCAAATCGGAACTTGTCCTCAAAAGTTACAGCAGTCTCATGTTTCAAAGCACGGAAACAAAAGCAGATTGGGTCACGAACATGTTTTCCACTTATTCAGTGTTTATTCTGTTTATCGCTCCATCACTTCTTTTGTTTGGGTCTTTTACTTTGATCTGGATCTTTGTCTCTTCTATATTTTCAGTTCTTTATCTGCCACTGATTCTCTTTTCCACAGTTCTTTGTTATTTGCCTCCCTCTCTTTGTTTTCTCCTCTTGCACTACACCTCTCATTACTGCACCCCTCCCTCCAGCCCCCCTCCCATCTTTATTTCTTCCCCTCCTGCATTTGTTCAAACATCACTCTCGGATGTGACTCAGTACTCTGATATAAAGGGAGGTGGAATGCCACCTTGCTTTCTTTCCATGCCTCTCTCTCTCCCTCCCCGTCTGTTGTCATGGAAACCAGCTCTAGTAACTATAAAGTAGTTGTGGTGTTGCGTGAAAGTGTATGTGTGTGTGTGTATTTGCCCATCCATGACCCACTGGTTTTAATTCTGCCGTCAGGTCTTAAACCAGACATCAGACGGTGCGAGCGTGTTTACGTGCACGCGCGTCTTTCACACTGTCCTTGACCAGAACGCAAGCCGGCGATGATTCAAGTCCAAGTCCTTTGTTCTTCAGCGTTACACTTTCAGATCTTCTTCCTGCATTTCATCTTCTTTAACTCGCAGTAACGTGCACAGTAATCTGTGTAAATCCATCGCGACGTCTCATTTTTCCAAATCTTTCAAAGTTTGAGAGCTGGAAACAAGAGACGTGCCACATTGAAAATAAAGTCGTCTGTCATATTCAAGAGTAAGGCCTTAGAGGAAAACAAATTGTTTTTATTCCGTTTAAATCAACTTAATTTTGTCAGCCATTTTTAACATGTTCCACTGGAAACAAGCATTTCTCCACAAACAGTCAAGAGACTTTTGTTTTTTCTCTTGTTAAAAGTGAGATTAATATAACTCTGTTTCTTCCTTGCTCAACACAAAACATACAACGCCTGTTATTTTATTAGTAAAAAGAACTGTATGCTCAGAAAACAAGTAATCGTGTTTTGTTTCCTCTTAGTCCTACAAGATTAAATCTTTATCAACTGCCTCTGTTGTTTTCATTCTAATAAATGCTAGTTTCAACCCAACAATCCCACTTATATTTTGAGTTCATTATACAGTGATGGGGATTAGAGCTATGATTTAAAAACCTGATGTCTACTCAGTGGCTCCCTCTGTGTAATCGAGGCGGTCCGTCTTAAAATAAGGCAGCATCCTGTAAAGCTCAGCATCGCTGTAGTGCCACAGTGCCAGTTCTGCCCGCTGGCGCTGAAAGAGATGACATCATCTTTTTTCCCGAGCGCAGACGTCCTCAGATTGGCCTAGACTCGCCGAGACTGAAAACAGGTAGACAAAGAGAAAGAGTGAGAGATGAACAGGAGGGTGGTGAGGCGGCTCCAGATGGTGAGAAGAGACCGATAGCTCCAAAAGTGAGAAAACAAAGTGGATAAAAGACACAAATAATTTGATTCTGTCTCAGAGAAGCAGAATATAAGTTTGCCAGCTACAAAAATTATTAAATAGTATTTAATAACATTTCAAATGATTATCTTTTGTTATTTCAGGAGGTTGTGGAAGAGTAACGTCAGTAAAATGTGTGTGGGGACTGTAAATACTTAAAGCGGCACAGAAGACGTCCAAGGCAGATGAGCAGGAAGGAGAAGAGATTAACGGGTGACAAAAGAGCAGAGCTGATTGAGAATGTAGACGTATACAAAATCTGCCACACTGAGGCATTAATTATTAAGTTTAATCCAAAATAGACGTGTAAAAATAATGTATTAAGATATTTGAGGAGATTGAGAAATCTGCAGCAGGATGGATTCAAAGTGACAGATGTGAGACAGATGTGAGAGAGCTCAGAGGTTATAGGTTTAAGTCACAGACTGATCAACATTAATCAGTTTGGGGCGGCTGTGGATGAGTGGTTAGAGCAGGTGTCCTCCACTGTAAGAGTTGGGGGTTCGATTCCACCAGCAGTCGCATGTCGAAGTGTCCCTGGGCAAGACACTGAACCCCTCATTGCCTCTGTATGTCCCATCGGTGTATGAATGTGATTTTAAAAAAAGCACTGATTAGTCTCTTTAGAACGATTTGTTGAATTATTTTTGTACAGATCTAGTAGAGAGCTGTATGAACGGGTAAATGAGGACACAGATTATAGTGTAAAGCTCTTCGAGTGTCTTGATAAGATAGAAAGGTCCTACAGTCCATTAACATTAAGAAACAGCAAACCGGTTTTGTTTTTTACATCATTTGTTACTTTAAGCTGCATGTTGAAACCTGACAGTCTGTGTTCCTGCAGCTGAATCCACTAAAACAAATTAAAACCTGCACAGGTTCTCCAGCCAGCTCTTTTAGCAACTATTTAAACTCATAATTTAGAGCCGTACACTGAACTGACATCTTCTATAGGGTTGTTTTGTACATAAAAGTTCAAAGTAGAATTCAAAAGACTAATTTTACAGATAAATCTGAAGCTGAACACTGAGAACACGAAGCCCCCCCGACTTGTGCACTTACAGGAAAACAGTGGTCTTTGGAGGCTCGTTGCTTCCTCCTGTCAGCCAGATGACTTCACCACATGTCACTGCACATCTGTAGCAACCTCCACTCCAGTGTTTTGTATCTTTAATTTAAATCATTCCAGGCTCTTCTGCGAAGACTATAAATCACTAATAATCAAACAAACTCTATAAACCTTGTATTTTATGACACAATGAGTTAAATATTTGTGAATCACTTGATTGTTTACAGAGGAGTGAATATTCACTCACAACAAACACCAGTAAACAACCTGTCAACAAAAAGTTGAACCGTGTGATCATATTCCAGTGGGGTGTCAAACTCACTTATGAAAGGTGGTGGTGGGGGGGGGGGGGGGGGGGGGGTTAAAGCCTTTTTCAAACTAAGAGCCGGTTTCAGAATCTACATTAACTCAAGTTCATTAACTCAGCATCTTTTCTTGGTTGCAGTTTCCTCAGCTAGAGTTTGTTTGGTCTCATTTGATGTTCCTTGATTCACTTTTGACATCCTAATCAAAGATTACTGAAGAAAATTGAATTGATAGAAGTACGTTTAACATATCATCTTGGGGGCCAGATAAGATGTCAACGAGGGCCACATTTGGCCCCCAGGCCTTAAGTTTGACACGTGTGCTCTATAAGCTGTGAAAACACTAACAAGTTGGCTACAACAGCCGTTAACAGAATATCAATTCAGGCCGTGTCCAGCTGCAAAATAAGCAAAATAAAAAAATTATGTGGAGCTGCTCAGTTCCCAATGGTCTCAACCCCCCACCCCACCCCCACCCCCACCCCCTCCCAACCTGAATATGATCTCCTTTCCAGTCCCTGAGCCGTGTGTGAAAGAGGTCATCACATGACGAGACTTGGCCCTTTGTGGCACTGAAGCAAGTGACAAGGATTGGGAGGCTCTTTTACAGTAGGGGTATTGATTCAACACAGATTGGGGGGGGGGCTCAACATCCAACAGGTTCACTCTCCTCCATCCCAACTTTTCCTGACGTTTTGTCTGCCCCTCACCCCCTTTTAATTTTTGTACTTTTTTACTCTGTCATTTTCCATCTGCTTTTTCTTCTTTGCAATGACCCTCCCTTCATCTTTCAATCTGATCTTCATCCATCCATCCAGCCCCCACCACCCCGTCTCACTCCAACTTCTCTCACTCTTTCTCAATGAGGTATTCATGTGACCCACCTGCTGTCCGCCGCTTAGCGTTGGCCTTACTAAAGAGCCGCTCTGTGCTCTTGTTGGCCTGTGGAGGCAGCCTGCCTCATTCACAGTTCACACGTCTGCCTCGGCCGTTGCATGCCTAGGGCGCGAAAAGAAGGGGGTCTTGGTATTTTGTATAAGGGGTGGGGGGTCAGTGGGGGTCTCAGGGTTGCATCGGAGCTCTGGCGGGGTTCTGTTGGGCATAGGATGCTGACAAGGTTCCTGGATGCTGGTGCAACTGGCTAAAGTCTCCATCATGTTTGGCCTGAAGAGTTCAGGTGGAAGTTATGAGAAGATGCGGAGTGAATACTATTTGGACCCGGAGAACCCCTTCTGCCCTCAGGTTGGTGGGTCAGGTGTAGGTTTGGATTTAAATGCACAGGTGTTGAAGAAAGTAATTTGATGCATCTCTGTGTTTCCTATTTTAATCTAAATTTGGTTTAATAGCAGCTTTTATAGTTTGTGTTTGTGTAACTGCTTGACTCAGGAACAGTTTCTGCTCCCAGATCTGGGGAGAGAATATAAATCCAAGTGTCAGATGAAAGAGCTTTTGTTGGGCTATGCTCATGAATTTTCATGTAGTTTTAACTGGCTTATAAAATTAACAGTTACTGACGAGAGCTGCGCAATGTTTGAAAAACTTTACAATAATAACATTATTAAAAACGGCGTTGACGATATCGTTTGCAATAAACCCACATTTCCTTTTTCTTTTCTGACTTCACCATTCTGTAAACAGGTGTGGGAATCTAGACCAGTGAGAGTCTATCAGATTGGCTGAATGTATTAGCATGCAGAACATGAATGCATTATACTTTGAATATAATAACCTATGATTTATTGTAAGATGGATGTCGTTCTCAGTGATTTTACAATGACAATAAGTTCTGATATAAAGAGAAGCCCTACTGACAACAAGTAAAATGTTAGATTTTGATAAACATACCCAGATAAAATAATTTAACAAAAGCTTGCTGATGTGTTAAACATCATTGCATGTGCATATGCTTTGTTATCCTTTATCTAAGATAAGTTTGATGCTCAGTTCAAATTTCAAATATTGTGTTCACATTTAATGTGATCTTTCTCCGCAGGTGACCAAACAGATCCATGAGCATGAGCAGGAGAGTGAGCTGCGGGAGCAGATGTCGGGCTACAAGCGCATGCGACGGCAGCACCAGAAGCAGCTGATCGCCCTGGAGAACAAGCTAAAGGCCGAGATGGACGAGCACCGGCTCAAACTGCAGAAGGAGGTGGAGACGCAGGCCAACAACGCCTACATCGACCTGGAGAAGCTAGCCAAACGCCATGCCGTGCAAACTGAAAAGGAGGTGGGATTTATCTGGAAAATACAATAATTCTTAAGTTATTTTACAGATGATTAACTTGACATGTACCTCGCAACAATTGGCTCAGGAAATATAAGTATTGTCTCATACAAAATCTACTGTAAAAAAGTATTTAGAAGACCTTTACACACTGCTGCCACCCAATGATGTATATGATAAAGCACAGGAGCAGAACTGAGGCCCAGAATGGTAGACTCTGAAAAAAACAAGCTTCTTATCTCCACAGTTTGCACAGAGTGTGTCCAGACAGCCAGAGAGATAGTATAATCTGTTCAGTGCGTATGCCTAAACAGTCAAACTAACTCATATTACAATTTAGTGGCACGCAGGCAGCGTTAAAAATATTATAGTTTTAACTTGAACATGTTTTCTGTTTTTATCCAAGTACCCATCACCTTTAGTTGCTTAATTGTTGCTTAAATAAAACAAATTAGTATTTTGTTTTAAAAGTGGGGATCCAACTATACGACGGAGCTAAGCTGTAACATTATGAGAATAAAGTTGAATCTTAATATTACAAGAATAAAGTCATACGAGACTTTTTTTTTTGCAGCTCTAGTTTTTTTTTTTTTTTTTTTTTTTTTTTTTCACAAGTCGGATCAACGACGCGACCTGTCAATCAATCCAGTAAGTATGTCAGCAAATGACCAATCTGAAGCTAAATGCTCCTTACCTGCAGAGCTGCGCTGCAGCCCATCAGAGCGTACCACCTTATTGTAAGCAGGTTCAAAGTCCTGATACTGATAATAATCTGATGCTGATGTGCTAACAGATATTTGTAAAACCAATACCAAAGTATAACTTAACAAGATGCTCAACATTCTTCATTTTACCACAGTTAAAATGGTAAACCTGCTTTATCGTGTCGGAGTTCAGATAATATTACGACTCGTTCAGCTTCGGATTGGTCATTTGCTGACACGCCTACTGGATTGATTGACAGGTCACGTTGTGGATCCGACTTTTGGGGAAAAAATTAATAAATACACGAGAGCTGTAAAAAAAAAGTCTCGTACGACTTTATTCTTGTAATATTAAGACTTTATTCGACTTCATTCTCGTAATTTTATGGCTTTTTTTTTTTTTTTTTTGCTTAGCGTGGCCCTAAAGCTCCGTCGTACAACTAAACCTGTATAATAGTTTTAGTTTATTTTCTTGACCGTAGTTTGAAAGTAAAGATATACAGTTTGTGTAATACTACGGAACGATCTCATCGGAAAAGCAGAAGGGTCAAAAACATGTTTAGATTTGGATTATATCTTGAAGATTGTTTCATTATATTTTTCTTTCTTTTGCAAATAAACCTTTTTTGCTTTAAGAAAATGGAATATGTACAAAAAAAAGCAAACACCAGAAAAAATATTTAAAATGCTTTATGGGTTTTGTTGTATTAAAAAAAGTGGCAGACAAAGTCCAGACTTAATCATAACACGCAGTCCAAGGTTTGACTTTTTTTAGCCATTCAAAATAAAGGTGTTTTTATTTTGTTCCATGTTCTCCATAAAGTGCCTTGTTTTTTTATTTATTGGCCACTTTGTGTTTTCACTCGTTTTTTTTTTTACCTCAATCAAGAAGCGTTTTTTCCAGTTAAGAAAAGTCTATGTACCTGAAGGACACAGCAGTACTGTTGCTTTTTTTTTTTTTTTTTTTTCCTTCTTCGTCTTGTTTTTCAGGGTATTTGTTCTTGTAGTGTCAGTTTTGCCCCCACTTTGCTAATGAAACAGCTGAACATCTCACCACTGTGTTCTTGCAGATGAAGACTGCACTCGCGGACGAGAAGAAATTCCAGCAGCAGATCATAGCCCAGCAGAAGAAGGAGCTGACCACATTTCTGGATAATCAAAAGAAGCAGTACAAACTCTGCAAGGAGAAGATCAAGGAGGTGTGTTGTGTTTTAGTTTCCTCCTCAGGCGAGCTCCTTTGTTCGCCTCCCTCATGTGTGACACATGGTCCTGTTTACTGTTGAGTCAGACCTCCTACACACAAACATGCACAACCAGTCCCCTCCAAATCTGAAGTTCTGTTGAGTCACTCAGCCTACTTACTATGTACCTACACATGAATCTACACACAAACGAGAACTGCAAGTCCACATCCACACTGGATACTTTGTGCCTCCACAACCTTGAAACAGAATCCAGAAAATGCTCCTCTGGGCTGGGGGTGTGATGCATTGTGTTTTCGGTTACGAGATAAGTGACCAAAATTAGGTCAGCACAGTTAAAAGCGAGCGTCACTGGCAGAGAGAGATATTTCCCATGAACTAAGGGCTACAAAGAATTAAATGCCACAGAGCGCACGGATCAGGCTCGTGTATTAACGGCATTAGTGAGAGTTGTAGATTACCTTAAAGTCCATAAAAAAGAAACCGGAATGTGAGTGGGATCTGACACTTACCCCTTTTCTTTGTCAGCCTTCCTCTGTTATAAAAGCCATTAATTGGCTAAAATAAAAGGTATTTAGTTGAATTGAGCGTGCATCAGGATAAAAGGCATTTAGAGTTTTCAAACGACTCAACAAACACTTGATAACGTGGACTTTAGTTTTCAAATTCAAAACATGCGTTTATTCCACACATCTGCTTGGTTGGCCAATGTTTTCACTTGTGTTCCAGTTCAGAATACTAATAAAATGATTTTCCGTGTCGCCACAATCCTCCCCCTTCATCCTGCCCTTCCACCTTTCTTCAGGAGATGAATGAAGACCACAGTACACCCAAGAAGGAGAAGCAGGAGCGTCTGTCCAAGCACAAAGAGAACATGCAGCACTCCCAGGCCGAGGAGGAGGCTCATCTTCTGGCACAGCAGAGGGTTTTCTACGAAAAGAACTGCCGCGCTTTCAAGCGCAAAGTCATGATCAAGAGGCACGAAGCGGAGCAGGAACAGATTCGTGAGGTGTGGAAGATCCTAATAATCAGTTTGGATCAACATCTTGAGTTCTAGACTCTCAAAGTGTTCCTTGTTTTTATTATTGTTGTTTCTAACGGGTGGAGAACCTACGTGACTGTTTTACAGCAAACGGCTGCAGTGATGAAAACAGCCACTGTTCCATAAGCAGATTAATAATGACCAAAGCAAGCCAAGAATGTCATAATCTGAAAAGCTGTTGTGCACGTTAAATCTGGAGTAAATATGTGTTGAAAAGCTTCCTATGGGGGAAAAAACAAACTCAACAGGTGTTTTAGTGGAAAATGAAGATTTATTGTTCTTGTTTTTACAACTGTAATGACAATTTTAAATTGGACAAAAATAAACAATTCATTTATATACATAAATGTATTTATGACACATTTTAAACAATAATAAAATCACTCCATCCATAAATCATAACTCCTTTATTTGTCCTCTTCCTCTTGTTGTCTCTAGGAGCTGAACAAAAAGAAGACCCAGAAAGAGATGGAGCACGCCATGCTGATCCGCCACGACGAGTCCACGCAGGAGCTGGAGCAGCGGCAGCTGAAGACCCTGCAGAAGCTGAGGATGGACCTGATCCGCCTGCAGCACCAGACCGAGCTGGAGAACCAGATTGAATACAACAACAGACGAGAGCGCGAGCTCCACCGCAAACACGTGCTGGAGCTCCGGCAGCAGCCCAAAAACCTCAAAGTGAGTCACTGCACCGATAACGCAAGTTTTATTGAAAATATGAAAAATAATTTGATACAGGATGATGGGAAAATTTTCAAATGCCTTTATTGTTATAACTCAATGACAACTGGGATCAACCTGTTAAATGGTGCAAGCAACAAGCAACATCTTTGGTTCCGTTTGAATCTGCAGTGATGCAACCTAAATGTAATAAACTGGAAGGAGATGTAAGAACTTTGAAAGTTTGAAATTGTGCTTTGGGCTATAAAACCTTTAACCTTAAGCAGCCCAGTTCTCCCAGAAATCAAGTTAAACTCCATTATTCTGCTCTTGAAGCTCTCATCTCACTCTGTCTTCCTCCGTACCATCCACCAGGTGCTGGAGCTGCAGATAAAGAAGCAGTTCCAGGACACCTGCAAGGTGCAAACCAAGCAGTACAAGGCCCTGCGCCACCACCAAATGGAGGTCACTCCCAAGGCTGAGCACAAGACGGTGCTCAAAGCCCTGAAGGATGAGCAGACACGCAAACTGGCCATTCTGGCAGAACAGTACGAGCAGAGCATCAACGAGATGATGGCCTCACAGGCAGTAAGTTGAGATGTGGAAAGTATTTACAAAAACAAATAAAGAACAATAGTTGTTAAAAAGAAGTGTTTTTTTCTAGACATGTTGCTCATACTTTTTTTTTCTTGCCTTCCTTAATCCGTCTCACCCGATTTATTCCCCAACCTTTGCTTGTCCCCTCTATAACTGTTGCCTTTCCATGTCCTCTCTGTCCCCATCGCCTTTCTTTCATCCTTTCCCTCTCTCTCTCTGCTCGCCTCTTTCTGTCTCCTCCTTCTCCCCCGTTTGCCGTCCATGGTGTACTGTGTCAGCTGCGTCTGGATGAGGCCCAGGAAGCAGAGTGCCAGGCCCTGAGGCAGCAGCTGCAGCAGGAGATGGAGCTGCTCAATGCCTACCAGAGCAAGATCAAGATGCAGACCGAAGCTCAGCATGAGCGCGAGCAGCAGAAGCTCGAGCAGAAGGTGTCGCTGCGCCGGGCTCACTTGGAACAAAAGGTGTGCTGCAGGAAACACTTCATTTTAAAGAGACCATACATTTCAACTGTAGCTTTTTTATTTAGTGCAATTTATACACCTGGACAGGTCCCAGTCAGAGACACATGGAGACAAACGAGACAAACATTCACTCTCTCACTCACACCTAGGGACAATTTAGAGTTACCAATCAGACTAACATGCATGTTTTTAGGTCTGTGGGAGGAAACGGGAGCACCCAGAGAAAACCCTCGCATGCACGGAGAGAACATGCAAACTCCACCCAGAAAGGCCCCCCGCCAGGATTTGGTCCAGTGACCTTCTCGTTGAGAAGCAACAGCTCTACCAACTGAGCCACATAGAGAATCTTGTAAAAGTAAAATTTAAAAAAGCCATTTATCCAATTAACATTCCCAGTGTAGAAATGTGTGAATAATACAGAAGATTACAAAGGAAATTTGTAATTTAACTACATTTGAGACGCCTGCAAATTGATTGGGTCTACATGACAGCTGCATTTCGTCATCAGAGGATCTACAAAGCTCTGCTCGTGTAATTTGTTGGGATTGCCTAATCCTGATCTGTGCTGTGCATCTGTGCCTCTTGTCATAAATATAAATCTGATGAGGGGAAAAGGAGCATGCATGGCAGGAAAACTCCTAATGGGACACAATCTTAAAAATGACACATTTATTTATTTATGGTAGTTTAAGAGCAAAAGGTTTTAGTGGTAGACAACTTCAAAAAAGTCTTGTTTGTAAAAGATCAGCTGATGGTGTAAATTTAGTTTTGTTTTAATTCAGTTGTTAGCAAACTTGTTTATTTTTTAAAGGTTTTATTTTCTTGTTGAATCACTTGGAGATAGTTTCATGTAAGGACAGTCTAATTAGAGGATCGGTATCTGTTTCTAGTCTTTACCACATCTCATACAACTTTATATCGGCAGCCTTTTCCTCCACATATCAGGAATAGAATATTTGAATTCATTTTTGACTTCAGGAGACGTTTTACAAATATATTTACTTGAATTAACTTAAAAAAAACGTATCATGTAAAACGTGTCACTATCAGAGGCAGAGACGGAGACACTGTGCTAAAGTCCTGATCTTTAGCACAGTGTCATCATCTACCACAAGAAAACCAAGTTAATGTTCCTTTTTATTTTATTTTCAAGGATTAAAGTTTCTTTATTTGTCATTTGCACCACATGTGGTACATTATGTACACAGGGTCCCAGTTACATCCAGCAATACAGTGTAAACGAAAAACAGTAATAAGATCTAAGATATGAACTAAGAAAAACGTTAACTATAAATACGCTAAGCACTAGTAGTGTCAAAACAATACGCTGAACAGCAGCACGAACATGAGTCTGTGTGAGCAGATGAGCACGAATGAACACAGCAACATGAAACAGATCAGCAGCAACATGAAACAGATCAGCAGCAACATGGGATTTTTCACAGTGATTATTCTGGTTAGAGATTCATGAGTCTAACAGCCTCAGGGAAGAAGCTGTTCCTCAGTCTAGTGGTTCTACACTTAATGCTCCTCAACCTCCTTCCTGAGGGGAGCGGGGCAAAAAGTGTGTGTGCTGGGTGAGTGGGGTCCTTCATGATGCAGGTGGCCCTCTTCCTGCATCTGGAGGTGTAGATGTCTGTGATGGTGGGGAGGCTGATTCCAACATCTTCTGTGCAGCCTTCACTACTACTGCACTACATTTTATTTTATTTTTACCAAAGCTGCCTGTATTACAAAAGCTAAAACATTTTGTTCTTCAGCGTATTTAAAGCTTTGGATCAGTCGTGTGTCGATGTGTAAACAAACTCAACCAGTTATTTGCTCATGTACAACTGAGGCGAAAACATCCGGATGCACATTTGTCTCCAAATCAGTCAAGCTAGGGTGAAAGGTGACCCAGAGAGACACTGGCATGTTCACACACACATGCACACACACACATGCACACACACACATGCAGATTTCCCTCGCCACAGGTGGTGGTGACTTTCTGCAGGGCGCAGACAGTCATTTGTTTCCCACACATTTGATCTCTCCTTACATCTATTCTGATTTTTCAAACATCACAGCCATTTAAATAAAACACGGTTTATATACTTTGATTTATCTTTCGAGCTTTTTCTAAATAGTTTGTTTTTTGTGTTCAGGCTCCTCCACTCCTTTTTTGTAATCCCCAAATTACAGATTGTGAACATCTTGGTTGCTTTTGCTTCGCAGCTCTTGGGTGTATTTTGTACAGATGTGACTGTTATATCCGTATTTGTCCTCCTGATGGACACGACGATCGTTTTAAAGTAGCCATTAAGGCAGCCTGATGAGGTTACAACAGGAGTGCGCCTCCTTCTCCAAACCGACCTACGTCATCGCTACAGTCTAGTAGACAGCAGTCCGACAACAAAGGAAGAGACCTTTGAAACGCTGATCCAGCTCTGGGTCTGCTGTAGAGCTGTGGGGGTCTGTTGCCACCTCCTGGCAGCACCCGGACTCGCACACCGGCACCAGGATGATGTCATGGTTTCTGAAGGACCATTGTCCTCCGGTTGGGTTCATGGTCGGAGTCTGGAGGTGTATGTGCATGCTCAGTAGTTGGACAGATTGCCGTATTGCACCATGCTGTGCAGGTGTGTGTGTGTGTGTGTTGAGTTGGTGTGTTTGTTTGGCTGACGGCTCCAGTAAACAAAACCAGCGTCCAGAATACAACTTGGGTGCAAAGTCTGCGTTGTTTTACAGCTGACGTGTCTTTAATCACATCGTTAACAACATGGAGGAGTTTAAAACGGCTACACAACGAGGACAACTCTGCAGAGTAACTGACACGTTTCTGTTCAAAACACCGATGTTGGAGATGTTTAAAGACTGCAGCGAACTGAACTGCTGTGTTCACAAAAGCAAATGAAAACAGCAGAAGTTGCAAAAGGAAGACTGATAAAACATTATCCGAATCACACAATAACTGTTTCATTCATAACATCGACACATTTAAAGAGACACGATAAAGAGCTGCCAGAGTTTTAACTCGTCCTGCTCAGTTAGTTGGTTTTAAATTGGCCACAGTGGAAACATGTTTAAATATGTCTTCATGTCAGAGACAGCTCATATAGAACTAGAATTGTTTCAGGTGACAACCCGATTAAACCCGACCCAGCTCCTTAACATTACGGCAACAATGGATCAGTGACTTTCATTATTATTATTACTTCTATAAATGCAATAAAGACTCAAAACGGCACCTCTCAGAGAACAGGTGATAACTGTAACTAACAAACGGTAACTGGACTGTACTTATATACTGTAGCACCTTTCTGTCTTATCAAGACACAAACTGTGCCCTCGTTCACCCATTCACACAGCACTCTACTAAATCTATACAAAAACTAATCAGTGCTTCATCACATTCATTCACTGATGGGACACACATCGGAGGCAATGAGGGGTTCAGTGTCGACTGCTGGAGGAATCAAACCCCCAACTCTCCCATTGGAGGACAAGTGCTCTAACCACTCAGCCACAGCCACCCATAATAATTTATATAAAGAAGAATCTTTAAGATGGATTGTAATGTAACCCTATATATATATATATATATATATCTGTTTTCTTCTTTGAATGAGGAATAATATATATATATATACACACACACACATACACACAATCTAGTGTTTTACGTTTCTTTACCTGCACTTTAAAGGTACTCATTGAAAATTCATCAAAAAAACAAAATCGTTAACAAATAAAATCCCCACAATATTTTTCTGATGTCAATTGGTTGTTTCTTTAAATAAAACATTTGTTAGAAATTGTGTCTGGATATCAGCTACTATGATGGATATCGATTTATCGATGGAAACAGCCGAAGCGGCTGAAAATAGGACGGACGTTAACCTAAGCAGCCATATTTGTTTACCTACGGACTACGGCCAGCCTAACAGTCATGTGACTCGAGCTTCCACGTGGTATTGGATTCAGCTTGTTTACATTGAGTGCGTACCCACATTTCAGAAATGCATTAAATATATCTGGGGAACTAGTGGGGTAAACTCTTTCAAACTGCTCCATTTGTTCAGGAGAACTTTTCAAAGTTTGATTTCATGGTTTGCAATGTGCACCTTTAATACACCTGTAGAAAAATGTTATAAACGTACATGTTTATGCTTCGTTTAAAAATGTGTTAATTTTAAAGTAACACCGGTAAATAAATAAAAGGCAATGTATGAAAACAGTAAATAAATCCAGTAACACCATGAACACCTGTTGTGTCTCTTTCAGATCGAAGAGGAACTGGTTTCTCTTCAGAAGGAGCGAACGGACCGGATCAAACACCTGCTGGAGCGCCAGGAGCGGGAGATCGACACCTTCGACATGGAGAGCATGCGCCTGGGCTTCAGCAACCTGGGCACCTTGGACTTTCCCAAGGACGACTACAGATGAGGAGGGGAGGGGGTGAGAGTCCCCGGACGTCCATCTTCCTCGGAACACCCCTCCTGTCCTTGGAGCTGACCCGGCCTGATGGCGTTGGTTTTCACCGAAGCTCACAGTAACAGACGCCTCCAGAACCAGCGCTGGCCTTTCTGGGCCAGTCAGAAAGGGTCAGTGGCAGGCTTGGGAGCCCCCCCACACCCACCTAGACTTTCTCCCCCCTCTTGTGGCATCACAAGATGACAAAAATAGAAAAAAGTGTCTGTAGTTGTCGTTTTTGTACGATCAATGATAACATAGTCCGTGTTTCTTGTGCAATGATAACACTTTTGATGTGACGGAGTCGAAGAGGAAACCGAGGGTGGATCTGAGAGAAATCGCTCTGCAACCGTGCGTTTGTAGGCCGTTTCTTTTTTTTGTTAGTTTCTTTATTTTCTTCTTCTTAAGCAGTGCAAAAAAAAAATAAATCTCTCAAGCGATAAATCAACCAACCAATCCTTCCGCAGCCGTTCGTCTTTGCTGCTCCTTTCGATGCTTTTTGGTGTTTATTCACCAGGACGTTTTTAGGACAAATTTTCAGTAATTTGATACTTTGAGACGAACCAACGTTCATACAGGTACAGATTTAAAACGTGACCCTTTCAGGTGATTGTGATGAAGCTGATGCTGAAGCGCGGCACTCCATGTGATTTCACTGCACTGGCAGCAAACGTGAAACATAAGAACATGCGTGAACTCCCAGCTGGCACAAAGGGCTTCATGGGGAGGGCGGGGGGACTTGTACTTTGTGTATAGATGGATTTATGGAGAGCGTTTACTTATTTTCATATTGTATTTTAACCGTCACACAAATCAGAAATAATTTTAAAGACAGTTTTTGTCCTTTTCAGATGGTATTTGAGCTCCAGTCATTCTTTACTTTGCTTTACACAACTCCCAAGCTGTGTATTTTCTTACCGACCAGATCAGTATGATGCTTTATTAATGCATGCACTTTATTTTTTTTTTCAGGTTTAAAAAAAAAGCATGAATCTGTCAAAGAGCTTTTAATTATATTTGTAAATAAAGTGCTCATCACACAAGAAGTCTATGAATTTATCTTAACACCAGTATCCAAAAATAATAATAAAAAACAAGCATGTGAAACTAAAGGTGTAATCTAATGAAAACTGGTCAAAAAAAAAAATATATATATATTCTAAAGCTTATTTCCATATTTATTAAAAACTTATTTGTAATTATAAAATGGAAGCATCTACTACTTTTTATCTGTTATGTTATTCCTGGCAAATGTTTATGTATTAATAATTTGGTAAAAAGTGTGAGAAGGCAACTACATGAGCAAACCATGAAAAAGTAGTTTGTTGCAGATGTTCCAGCGTCTGACCTTTGACCTTTAGAAGGTCAGATGTTTGTCACATTTCTACATCTACTGTGACGTTAGTAGACAAACTCCTCTGACTGCTGCAGAAGCAACTCGGGAGTCACGGTGGACGACTAATGAAGCAAAGAACGAACTGTTGGAGGAAAATGATAAAGTTCAGAAACATTTCTTCTCTGCTGCACTCCCATCCAGTGTTGCTAAACAGCTCTTCAGGTTCAAGTTGATCCCGTTACAGATCTTTTAACACTTGAAGCTCTTCTGTTTTTCTGGAGGATCCAAGTTGACGGAGCTCGTCTCACAAGAAATCAGATTAACTGCAGATTAATAAAATGATTTTATGATTTTTTTGTCATGTTACAGAACGGATAAGAAACTGATCAAACTGAAAACTTTTAATAAAACAAAAAGGCTCGGCAGGATCTCTCCCTCTCGATTAAAGGGTCTTCCCTCTATTTTCCAGCCAGCTGTTCGTACAGTTTAGGCACGTAGTGGTCCCACTCGGCCTGGTAGCAGGTTCCTGCCACTGGCGCTCCCAGGTTGTACTTCTTCCTGAAGGTCTGGAGCTTGAATTTACCACGACCGTCCCCAGAGCAGTTGGTGAGGACGGGCTCGGAGCAGGACAGGCTGCCGGGCTGCTCGTACACCAGCCAAACGTACCTGTGGAGACCTGAGGGGGACGAACACGGCACGTTTAAATGTTGCAGGAGGAGACCGTAAATCTTTTCAATATACACTTTAAGGCTTTTGGAGCCGTTTTAACGTCTCTTTGGCATTTGTTCCCTTTTAAAACAAGCAAATGTAATTAGTGGTTGGTACAACAATTAAATATTTCTACCTGTGCCCTTAGGAGGACCAGAGCCCACATAGTCTGACAAGACGCAGCCAGAAGACACATCATTCCCCTTCATGTTGACCACCAGAAAGTGGTGCCACTCCCTACAGCGAACGACAAAACAGAAACGGATTTGGGAACTGTTAAGCCTTATGGTCCTCTACATCGAACATAATGAAAAAAACATTTTGACGTGTGGATCAAAATTGTTTCCTCTCACCTGAACTTGGGGTCTTTCCTGCTGGGAGCGTCAGGATCTGTCATGGCCAGCGTGTACAGTTTACTTGGGTCACATCCTTCCCACTCGATGCACGTGGGTCGGTTCTGCACCTGCAAACAAAAGGGGTGAGGATCACTTTGCTGTTGTTGTCATATTTGATGCATTTTAATAAGCAAGTTGAACTGAAACTGACTGATTAGTAAATGCGAATAATGTAAAGCTGTCTTCTCATTGAGGTTCCAGTTCTGGCTCTCGTGCGCTTCAGAAAACTCGTTTACATTATCTAAATTTGCTTCATCTTAAATCTAGTCTTGTGAAAATGGTTCAGCATAAGAATTGGGTTAAAATGGGATTAAGAAGCAACCAGCCTACAAAAGAAAAACAATGAAAAGTCTGCAAAAATACCTTTATACTGTAATGCTTTGAAGATACTTTAAAATAGAACATTTATGTTCTTGAATTAAATAAATCAAGAGATGATGGGTGGCATAAGGCACTTGACATATAAAACAAACAAAAAAAATTATGGATATTTTCTGTTAATCTCAATTTCAAATTTCGAGTGTTTTGCTAATTTTCTTATCATCCACAAGGGGGCGCTGTTACATTATTAGAGCTGCACCAACTAATAAATTATTATATATTTATAGCTGCAAACATGCTAAGAAGCATTGTGTGACCCAGTTCATTGTTACCAAATATTTACAGATACCTACAAACAAACAAACAAACAAAAAAGTATTAAAGTAAATAAAATGGTGTTAGCATTGTGCGGCCAGCTAGCCGCATTCAGCTAGCTCCTAACCTGAGTTGGAGTGAGCACATTCCCGAGCTCGTTGATTTCCACAGAACCGTATTTAATTGTCAGAGGCTTCGCAGGTTTTTCATCAACCTCCTGCAGGGCGAGAGGCCCGGACCACTGGCTCAAATCGACCGGCATTTTCAAATATATTATCCGTTAGCAGGCACTGTTCGAGCGGACTGGACCGTTGTTTGTAATAGGTGTTACGTTCACGGACTGTCTGAAATTTTGGAGACTGTGAGCGCGTTCAGACAAAACCCTTAACCAAAACAAAATGTTATCAATTCAGAGCAAATTATTTAAAAAATATATTAAAAAATGTATAATTTGCTCTTTGCATAGATGTGTTTACAAATTAATTTAATTTCTTAAGGGAACTTTCAGCATTAATAAAAAAAATCTTTTAATTAAAAAAAAATCGTTCCATTCAATTGTAAAAACATATATTTGTCGCGTTAGTTCAATTAAAAGAAAAACTACAAATTAGTGATGCTTCCAATAGCTGGTAAATTGTAGGAAAATGGTATTTCCTACTCAAACAATGCATTTGAACTGAAGTAACCGCGCCTGCTTTAAATGGCCGCGAGAGGGCGCAGTTTCACCACCACACTGTGGAATTTGATTCGCTAAAACAAACATCAATCTGATCGCCTGTTCATTGATGGTCCCTCCTCCGTCTCCGCGTGCTCAGTTGACACACTTTCCATTTTCAGACAGCCTCATTAAAGAGCCCTGAAAACTAATGGAGTTGTCAGAGCTGGTTTTGTAATCTGTGAAATATTTTGGCACAGATGGAGTGATGGCATGTAGGCGAAAACTACCACAACAATACGTTTGCAGATGTGCTTTAATCATGGTCAACTTTAATTCTCCTAAGTCCTCCTTTTGCTCAGATTCAATTCAAATTCAAAAATACTTTATTAATCCCAGAGGGAAATTGAATAAGATCAAGTTTATTTTTGGTCCTGTATATTGATAAAACTTTTGCTATGCTTAACAGCATCGTGATTTGTCCACATGATCTTCTCCAAACTGCAAAACGGGTTGGAGTGTCTGACAGGAACATTAACAAGAACATTGTCAAACAGAAAAAAAGGTTTGTAGGCTCAATCATCCAGGTAGATGACAACGAAAAAATGTTAAATCACGTCATCTGGACCAGAAACTTTTAAGTTCTAGATAGCGTTTTGCTACATGTAACTTCTGGAATCCCTTAGGGACGTCAAGGTCGAGAGCTTCAGATCTTTTTGCAAGATATTCCAGGAAACAGGAGCCGAGTAGGAGAAGGCCCTTTTGCCTAGTTCGGTCTGCGCTGAGGGGACACTGCAGGTAATAATGTCCTGAGAACGCACGCTGTAGCTGCACTCACGCAGAGACATGCAGGAGATGTATGAAGGCAGCAGACCAGGAAGTGATTTAAAGATGAAAATGTACCAGTGGGAGAGTCTGCATGAAGTTAATGGTGACCAGTTAACCAGTGAATACACGGTGCAGTAAAATAATGTCACCAAAGTCAATGGAGGGGAGGAATGCAGCAGTTACAAACTACATGTGTGTTACTTTTAAGTTCTAGATAGCATTTGGATACATTTAACTTCTAGTTGGCCTGTTATTACTAGTTTTCAGCTAGTTTTCTTTTAAGTTTTAACAACTCAAGTTTCAGCTTTTTCAGTAAATTTAAGCAAAGCTATTCAGCGTTTGTGTTGTATTTTTGCTGAAAAAGGAAATTTCTCTAGTTTCAACAGAAATTGCTTTACTTTCACCATTATAGAACAAATGCCAGTCAACCAATCAACTAACCAAACTAACCAACCACCCACTAATAGATCGTCTAAAACATCATTTGAATTGTGATCTTTTTAAGTAAAATGCCCCCAAACCATAAAAAGTGTTTAACATTTGGAGGAACAAAGTCACCTGATGTTTTACTGAGGGGACTTTTTGTAGCCTTAATTGATGACTTGATTTTAGACAGTTTGCCACACTGTCTGTCTATGAATATAGTTATGTATGTGATAAAAAAATACATGTTTACAACTAATTAACACCTTTATTTAAGAACTCTCACATGATAATATGCTCCGCAACAGCCATTGAGACATTTACCTAATTACTGTTTCTAGGAAAACAAAACAAAATTACTACTAATACTACTAATAATAATAATAGTACTACCAGAATCTGTTGGACTCCGGGCAAGAACCAATGCAGACATGTTCCTGTTTTTAGTTTTCTACATTCACTTTATAATCTAGCTGTTTTTTGCTACTTTTTTTGCAATTTTATTTTAATCTGTAAAAATAAATAAATAAATAAAAATCTGTATGCCTCTTTTGTGATTGTATATTGTTGTCCTTGTCATCATTCTTTGCAAAAATCAGGTCTCTCTTGTAAATGAGTCCTCGAGGCTCAATGGGTTTAACCTGAATAAATAAAGGTTGAATGAACTACTACTACTACTACTACCACTACTACTACTACTACTACTACTACTACTACTACTACTACTACTACTACTGCTGCTGCTACTACTAATACTACTGCTGCTACTACTACTACTACTACTACTACTACTACTACTACTACTACTACTGCTGCTGCTGCTGCTGCTGCTGCTGCTACTACTACTAATACTACTGCTGCTGCTACTACTAATACTACTACTGCTGCGACTACTACTGCTGCGACTACTACTACTACCACTACTACTACTGCTGCTGCTGCTACTACTAATACTACTACTACTACTAATACTAATACTACTGCTGCTGCTACTACTACTACTACTACTGCTACTGCTACTGCTGCTGCTACTACTACTACTACTAATACTACTGCTACTGCTGCTGCTACTACTACTACTAATACTAATACTACTGCTGCTGCTGCTGCTACTACTACTACTACTAATACTACTGCTACTGCTGCTGCTACTACTACTACTAATACTACTGCTGCTACTGCTACTACTACTACTACTAATACTACTACTAATACTAATACTAATACTACTGCTGCTGCTGCTACTACTACTACTACTACTACTACTGCTACTACTAATACTAATACTACTGCTGCTGCTGCTGCTACTACTACTACTACTACTACTACTAATACTACTGCTACTGCTGCTGCTACTACTACTACTAATACTACTGCTGCTACTGCTACTACTACTACTACTAATAATACTAATAATATCTGTGAAATGTATTTAAAAAAACATATTATGACAGTATGCAGATCAGGCCATAACTCATTTACTGAACACTTCCAGCTGTTGTCTTAAAGGTTTATTAATCTTGTGAGCAATCCTATACAAGACTGAGTATTTCATTTTTCTAAATGTTTTAGTACATCTTCTACAGCTCTGGTTGTTTTTTGTTGCCATTGTTGTTTCTTGTCCTACCTGTTTGGTAAAAGCAACAATGAGAAAACATCGCTGATGTTCTTTGTATCAACAGAAATGGTGTCACTGCGCCTTTAAGAAGGTGAACTCAAGGTGTGGTTTATTCCTAAAAACGCTTCCGGTCCAGCATGCTCGTGTAAACAGTGCAGGTCGGTCCAAATCTGTTGCAGAGACGCAGACAGGTGGTCCGACATGTCAGACGGGTCACTGTGGTCTGTTACTGGGATTAACATGGATTGACAGGGGTCCACCGTGTCGGTGTGTGTGTGTGTCATAGGGCACGAGCTCACAGGTGAACTCGTCAGACAGGTTTGGACGGAAAGCCTTTTGTTCAGTTATTTCTGAGGGCGATGTTGGAAAGTTAACATGAATATAGTCGCAACTGTAGCGCTTCTACAGCTGTGTTTATCTGCCACAGGTGAGTTTTTTTTTTTTTAACCGCAGGTGAATCTAAATCAATTAACCCCCTCGCGCTTACTTCTCGCTTCATCTTGTTTCAGCCTCAGTTTCGGATAAAGACCCCACCGAAACTGTCGTTACAGCCGATCCCGGCGACGTAGTCATACTTCCGTGTTACAGTGGCGGGAACCGAACACCTTCGTGGACGACGTGGACGAAAAATGGACAGAAACTCGGCGACGCGTCCACGAACTCCGAGGCTCGCTTCGCCGTGCTGCACGACGGGAGCCTGAGGGTCGGTGCGGCGAAGGTTGGCGATGAGGGCAGCTACCTGTGCACCTCCACTCTACCTGGCAACAGCACCTTCCAAGCACGTGCGCTGCTTCAAATAGCCAGTAAGTGTAAACAGCCCAGAGTCAGTCCAGGCTGCGTGACCAGAGCGGCGGTCACGTGACTGTGTGACGCTCAAGGGACAGGCGCCATAACCAAAGAGGGCAATGTGCTTAGCGTCGTTGTAGATGTTGGCATAACTGTTGTAGCAACAGAAGCTAAAAGGGAAAACGTCTCATTTCACGTCAGCAGATTTTATTTTATTTACCTCAATGTGAATGGGAACTGACCATAATTAAAGTTAATAATGCAACGGTTTAAAATTAAACTTAGCCCATAAAGTCAATGTGTTATACTGTTAAGCACTACGCTGAATCATATTACAGTTTAGTACAAATTATTAAATCGTACAATCTGCCGTTACTTAAGACAAGTTATCCTTCAAAGTATCACAAGTATACAGTGAACATTTTCTAAGTGTCTACTTCATGAACAGGTAAATAATAATTAATATATGTTGAACAAAGTAAAGTCAGGTCCCCTGGACGGATTCTTGTTGAAACCTTTTGTCTTTTATCCAGAAGACTTCGTCAGTCTGAGGAATAATAAACTCAGTCTTATAAATGGCACCTTCTCATAATGGATCAGCCAATTTGTTGTTGACATCCAGAACTAGCTGTTCACATGATCAAGGAGGACCGTCAGCCTAACAACTGGTTGTTGGTGCCCTGGTGGCCGCTTGCTATTCACAGAGGGCTGAGTGATACTAGCAATAACAGCATTGTAAGGGGGACAGTTGGACATGGAGGCCTCCACCCCTGTTTAACGAAGAATGGGTTATTTTCACAAAGATGGCCTCCTTTACTCCTCACTCCAACCAGCATTCCTCTCTATCCAGGATATGAACATCTTCATCCCTGAAAGAGTGACTGCTGGCCTGGAGATGAGTTTAGACCACAGCCTGGCCTGATGATGTTGATCTTCTGTGCTGGTCCATCCTTTTGGCCAGTGGCTGTTTAGTTTCCCCGATGTAAGACTGGTCACCCTCCTGGCACTGAACAGCATACACAATATTACTCTGTTTGTGCCGGGGGACTGGATCTTTGAGATGAACCAGTCTTTGCCTTAATGTATTTTGGGGTTTGAAAGCCACTGAGATGTCATGCTTGGAAAATAAACGTCTCAGTTTCTCTGATACTCCCTCAACATACGGAATGACCACTGGTCTGGGTCTGGGTTCCTCCTTTTCACCTGATGCTGACTGGAGTCCTGTTTTGGGTTTATTCTCTGCTTTCAGGAAGGCCCCATTAGGATATCCACATTGCTCTAGAGCCTGTCTTGTGTGGGATTTCTCCTTCTGCCTGGCTCCTGAGTTAGTGGGGATGCTGTCCACTCTGTGGTCCAGAGTCCTGATGACAGAGTCCCAAAAAGGAATCCAGCCAGCCATCAAGTGAAAAGGAGGAACCCATACATAGACCAGTGACCATTCTGTATGTTGCAGGAGTTGCAGAGAAACTGAGATGTTAATTTTCTAGACATTAGTGCCATTCCCATTCTTTTGGTAAAATCCACCACCATCTGTCCTACCTGCTTTCTTTCATTGATATATTGACCTATCCATCACTTCCTCATTCCCTTTGTTTCTTTCACCGATATGTCCATTCAAGTTTGCTGTTTAATCCAATGCTGCAAGCTTTGCTGCCCTTCCACTTGGTCTTTTGGACGCAAAAAACATGTACCTTCCTTCTCTGCATCATGTCTGCCAGCTCTCTACCATTACCTCTCATTGTCCCCACAGTAACAGTAGCACAAAGGCCTCGACCGATCCAGTATGGTGTCACTTAATTTAACTCTCATTTTAGTTTTGGCAAAAGTGTTTTATGTCAGATGCCATCCTGACCCAACCCCTCACCATTTACCTGGGCTTGGGATACAAGAGATAAACGTCCTTGTGTTCCCTAGTGGCTGGTTTAAATAAAACGTTAGTAAACGTTAAAAAAAGCTAAATGTTAGCTAAAGTAAGCATAAGATTTGCCTAAAATGGCAAAACATTGGCTTATAGTGGCAAAATGTTAGCTAAAGTTCGCAAGTGTAGATTACTGCAAGAGACCAGAGGTGGGCTTGCTCTTCTGTGAAAGCCTGTGTCAAACTAAAACAGCAAAAGTAGCCATCCTGCTTCAGATCAAACAGATCGCAGCATATTTATGAACATTTCACTTCAGGTCATTTATATCTTTGCAGCTGTTTGTTTAAAAGCGTCACGCTAGAGGAAGACTGTTCTAATTGGCCCTCACACAACTTTACTTACCCTTACTGTGCAACTTCAAGACATGACTCAAATACCAACAAACTGACCTATTGTTTATTTTACTGACACCTACAGCGGCAGTGTCTGCTTGTACTGCACATAATTCCGTCATTTTGAACATGGCCAGGATGGATTTCCGTCATCGGTAAAAACGAGGAGAGGGAAACAAGTGTTTTGTTGCTGCCTTGTAAAAGCTATCCGATCTAATGGTGATACAGGAATTAAACGTACATTCCTATCAACCAGCGGAGTGAACCTAAGTCATAGTTTGACCCAATCAGAGCAGGGCGTGTCGTTCTGTCTGGTTCACGATGGGCCTGGGCGTGAGCAGCTCGTGGAAGCTCACCTGCAGCAAACCAAGGAAGACACCCTGCTACCATAACAGAACCGCCAACCCCTTCATGAATGTGATATGTAATAAATTATTAAACATCTACGTATTAAACGTATGTTCGCACTTGACCAATTCATTGCAACCAGAGTAGATACCAGAGCTGATACACCTTTACCCCCACCCCCTCCTCATGCACCGTGCCCCAACCTCCCCAGGACTTTTGTATCTAAAATCCAATGTATTAAATGTTAAAGTGTTTGGGGCATCGTACAGGCATGTGCAACCTGTGCGCCGGATCGAACTCCGGGTCAGGGAGAGGGAAAGACATGCAGCGCCACGGCCTGTTGAGTTTCTCTCGCGGTGATGGAGGCTGTTTCTGCTGTTTTGGTATCAGATGGTTGGGGAACCTCTAGATGTAGACAAAAAAATCAGCCCCGATATTTTTTTTTTTCTGCTTTAATCCATGGTTTTATCTTTGCTTATCATGGAACAAGAATGGCGTACTGTCACACTGCAAACTTACCATTGACGATGTTACTAAATGTGAAGGTGCACGATTGTAACGCAACACTCTTATGTATTTCAGGTGGACCAAATAATGCGTCTATGCTCATTTTCCCTTGTATTACACTACCCAACGGGACACTCTTCACCAGTCAGGACACCTTTGTCCATTTCCACTGTGCCGCCTCGTCTTACCCATCCCAGCAGCTGAGCTTGAAGTTCAGTGGAGCTCCGTCCAGCAACAACACACTGAACTCCACCTCACAGTCCTCGCTGGACTTCAGGATTAAGAGCATTCAGCGCAGCTCTCAAGGAGTTTACACCTGCAGTGCCATCAACACCGTGTCCAACCGGACGGTTAATAGAAGCACAGAGCTACTGGTGTATCGTAAGTAGCATTCATTCCCTTTATTTATACAGGTTAGTCCCATTGAGCCTCGGGGATAGGCCTGTCACGATAAACAATAAATCAATTAATTGCATGATGAATGAAAATTATTGACCTCGTTTTCATTTATCGGCTTTATCCTGTCGACTGAAGACAAGGCTCTACTCCGGTGCTCTTTACTGACTCCTCCCTTTCTCTTTAAAATCTGTTTTTAACCGTCCAAAATGGCGTTTTTGAATCGTTAAAAGCAGCTAAGCTGAGAAGCTCAGCTACGAGCTAAGCTAACAGGCCAACTAGGGGAGAAACCTCAGTTTTGTCAAAGCTCCAAAGCGCCTCCCTCCCGTTTTTCTCAAAGAGACACGCTGCTCGCTCCCTCAGTATCCATCCTTCAGTTCAGTCTTATACTGCCATCGGGTGGTCGAAAAAGGTACTACATGTAAAACAAAATGAGATGATGGAAAACAGTTCTTCTTAAATTTGACAATAATTACAAATTATTGTCAAATTTCAAACAATATTGTTTATCGCAATAATTTCTGAGACAATTAATCGCCCGGCAAAATTAGTTATCGTGACAGGCCTACTCGGGGACTCATTTACAACATGAGCCAAGTATTCTGCTGTACACTTTAGATAATAATTTTAGTCTGTAGATTTTTTTCTCATGTGTTTGGATACACGTCCAATAAGTTGAGCTTCGACCACATGCTTTCGTAGCCATCAACAAGCCTTTGGTGTAATTCATCCTGGACCTTTGATCGCACTTCGTGGCAGAACTAAGAGAAATCATTTGAACTGGTTGGTTTCCTGCACGGACCCGTCTTTTGCGTATAATCCACAAATTTTCTGCAGGGGGAACGTCAGGGTTTGTGCCAAGGCTGGTGTGTGTTTGAGGCCGGTGTTCCGTCGGAACCACATGTGTCCAAGTTTCAACTGTCTTAGCTGATGATTTGAGGTGAAGTTAAAGAACTCGGGCTCAGTTCGCCTCTTTCATTTTTCTGTGTACTTTCTGCAATGCACCAGTATCATGATGCTACCCCCACCATGCTTGACAGTTGGTAGTTTTTTGTAGGTTTGAAAGCCACACTTTGAATTCTCCAAACGTTCTTTCTTGTCTTTGTGGCCAAATAGTTGCACATTTGTCTTCTTTGACTATAAAATCTTTCCCCGGAATGCATTTAGCTTGTCCATGTGGGCATCTACCGGTACTTACTTCATTTGAGCGTGAAGGTCTTGCTTTTGGAGCTCTATCTCAGTCGGTGGCAAATAAAAAATAAAAAACTGGCTTCACTGTGGACAGTGACACTGGTCCAGCAGACTTGAGCCTTGATGGTTGTTCCTGGACATGCTAATTGTTTTTTCCCCTCTTAGATCATCAGAGTTTACTGGACTAAACCCTCTTTGTGCTGGTGAAGAGGAACTGCCAGGTGCAGCTATTCACCAATGAGTAGTTAATAGAAACAGCCTTTTTTAAACATTTAATATATTTAAGTGAATGTGTATACATTGGAGCCAGTATGAATGATTTTGATTCCGTGTGTATTGTGAAATGTTTCTGGATTAAGTCAAACTAATGCACTAAGTTGTTGTTTTTAAAAGTAATTAAAGCTGCATAGTTGTTCCGTCCTGGAACAAATGCTTGAAACAAATCTATAAATGTTTTAAATTATTCAAATCATTAATACACGAGTGTGCATGAACTTTTGACGGCAACTGTAAAGTATTAAAACGGTTTTAGATGAGGAGTTGTGCACTAAAGCTGATTTACAGACGACTCACAGTAACACATGATCCTTGTTTTTTATTTTCCATTAAGCTGCAGTCTCACTTCATGCAAACTGTAGTTTATAGTATAAGGCATGGTGAACATAAACAAGTTTACCCACCTGATATACATATTGTGGAGCAAAATGCAAATATGATACCTTTTTTTATTATTATTTTAACCTGCTTCGATAATAAAAGTGGTGTTTGAGGGCACAGCTCACGAATGAGATTTGAAGCTTGGACTATTTTTCTGTTTTTATTTATTTTTTTTGTACACATTATGGGAAAAAAGCAGCTTAAAGAGTAAAAAAGACATTTATCCAGTTCAACTTTTTGCACCATTTGCTGTTTTTTGGGACTTTTCAAAAGAGTTTGGTTTGGATTTTCCTCCCTGCAGAAACAGGGAGATGTTTAATGTTATAACTGAAGCTATTACGCTTTATGGATTTTTACATTTGCCTGGTGTCTTTTTTTTTTTTTAATTAGATGTCCCGGATACACACCCTGACTGCATGTGGGTCCCGTCGCAGGACCTCTCCTCCATCCAGCTGAACTGCTCCTGGTTTGGAGCGTACCCCGCCCCGAAGCTGCGCTGGGGGGAAGACGGCAACTTCCAGGAGACGGAGGACCTCTCTGTGAGGCTGAACAGCTCCCGGGTGTCCGACGGGCAGAAGGTGAAGTGCACGGCCATGCACAAACTGCTCGTAGAAGGAAACGAGAGGTCGTGCTCGCTCACCCTCAGTAAGTAAAATGAGTCCTGTTACAATCCTGAGAAATGCGGCTGTTGAATGTTTTATATTTCCAGCTGACGGCGTCCAGAGAATCAAATTCAACCTTCTAGTTTCGGGTAGAGTCGAGTAAAATAATGATGAACACAAATAAATTAAAGCTGCAGCATCTTGGAAAAAACAGTAGTCGATGTCTACAGCGTAGAATCCTGGACTGAGGTCGACCGAGTAGAGATCTTTAGAAATCAGGGCAGCTGATGAACGATGCACAACACCAGTTAGTTTTGTTCAGTATGTAATATTCAATACAGTTTATTTCTATAGCTCCAAGTCACAACAGCAGTGTCTCTGGGCGCTGTACAAATTGCATTATAAAAGCCAATTAGTAAAAGTTATTTGTCTAAGGGAGCCAGCAGATCGTGTTGAATCTTCACTTTGTCATTCTCTCGTCCTGAACAAGCACAAAGGCAACAGTGGAAAGGAAAAACGTTTCATTTTCATTGAACTAAAAGTAGAACATTGATGGCGTAAAAATGTATAGTTCACAACCTTTAGAAGAATTTGACCAATTAATTGGTGTGTCTCTAACTATCTGAATATCAACGCCTGGATTTCTGCTAAAAGTGACGTATAGTTTGAATAGTCAGAGCATCAAAACTGCAGTTGTGACATTTTCCTTGAAAGGTTTGTTGCGATGGTCTGTCTGTCTCAAAACAAGTTTTCTCAAGCTGCGTTTAATTCATCATCTGGGAAAATAGACCATAATGCATTGCGTGGCTTACTGAGGCTAATGCTAATGTCCGTAGCTCATTATGGAGATTTTCATTAGCCTTTATGAAAATACCTTTAATTATCTCATCATCTTTTATATAAAGTATTTTGTCTCCTCCTCTGTCTGAGCTATGGGTTTGAGAAATGCTGATAAAATGTATAATTGTATAAAATGTTTACTTCTAATTATGAAACATTAAAAAATATGTTGTAAATCGCCATAGTTCAACTTTATGATGTCGTGCGGCTCTGTTTTAATATTTACGTACTTGCCTGTTTTTATACAGAAATATTTTGTAGAAGATATTAATTTATAATTTTAGCACGAAGATTTCTTGTATTGTCACAAAACCATTGATTATTCTGAACTTGCACGCTACCTACAGTTTGCCATGAATGTCAAAACAACAAAACTTTATTTTTTCGCCACTTTTCAGTCAAAACTGCAATTCAAAGGGTTTTACAGAGAAGGAGAACTAAAACAGAGGATTTCTTCCTATAGATATGAAGTCCGTTGTCATTTATGATTCTTCAAAGTTGTGTTTAGATGTTTTCAAAAATGTTGCTTTAAAACGAGATTAGAGATTGTGTTTGCTAACTTTGTAGTTCATAGTGAGTGATGGCATCTGTTATGACAAAGGAATATTTAGAAAATTCCTTGAGTAACATTTTTATTAATGAAACGTCACCCCTCACTATAATTTACCCCCAAATTCCGTGTACTTTCAAACATTTTTTAAACGGTTTCACAATTTCCTGTCACCTAGCAAACTAAAACTTTAAAACAACAATCACCTCATCATCTGAGGTGCATGAGAAAGTATGCACTGAAGGAATGAGAAGACTCTGAGTAATGTCAAGTTGACACGGTGATCAGATGTTCCTCCTGCCTCGTAGGGAACTGGTTTTTACCGTCATAAAACCCAGTCCCAGTGTTTGTTTTATGAAGTTAAACACAGAGTGTTAAAAGACAACAATCAAATGGCTCTGTTGTCTCGGTTTTAATCACTGCGGCCTACTTACTGATCGTAGCGTAGTATTTGTCCAGATTCATTGTTTTCTGTTATTAGTAGTTGTTGATGTGAGGTTTTAGGTGCAGTCAGAGGCACATTTGCTGTCACTGTCATGAGGATGCTGTGAGGACTTCTGAGTCACTCCGGGGTGTGAAAGGGTGTCGTCACTTCAGGACCTTCTTCACATTCTGAGATGATGACGTAAACGTGTGAGCGTGAAGGAATAAAACTTTTATCTCTGTGTTCAATGAGTGATCTGAAAGCCTAAAACAATGGCAAAAAAAAAACATATTTTCAGATGTATAAGTTGCAGATTTTTGCATAATTTGCATAATTTGATACCCTGCGACTTGTACACCGACGTGACTTACTTGTTTTTTTTTTCCCATATTTATAAACCAATTTTTGGCTGAGAGATGACCGTTTTCATTCATCCTGACATTAAAAATATTGAACGCTACCATTTTCAGCCACTAGATGGCACTTAAGAGTATGGCATGCTGTTGTGTCATGTAATAGGTCCAAAAAAGGTTATAAACAAAACAACTGGACTTGATTTGTAATTGAAGATGTTTCGCTTAAAAGTTACAAATAAAGTCCAGTTGTTTTGTTTATAAACTTTTTTGGGGGGGTTTACCATGTCCTGGATGACTGAGAATCTTCACCAGCATCATGTAATGGGTGAAAGTGGCTATTAATGACACAGTGGGCTTGCCATACAGGCCACCTTCATCCAGCTACGGGATCATGCGGGGAGCAAACGTCAGATCAGCTTCATTTTGCTGCGCCGCCCCGGTAAATTGCAGCTGATTTGACCATTAAAGTGCATTTATTAAGTAAAACTTCAACAGAGACACACTTTTGTTATAATGCCGAGCAAACAAATAATTGTTTTAGGTGCTTATCTTGTTAAATTTTGAAGAAACGCACAGCGAGTCGTCCATCTGCGCGCTTCCGCGTATCGGCTTTTGAAAATGCAGCTGATTTGACCATCAAAGTGCATTTATTAAGGAAAAGTTAGACTGAGACACACCTTTTGCTATAATTTCAAGCAAACAAACAATTGTTTTTAATTGTTAATCTTGTTAAATTTTTGTTAGTCCTCCTGTGCACGCTCCTGCGGCTGCCATTAAGCAGCCAATCGATTTTTGGCACAACACCGGTCCACATTTCCGGGTGGTCAGCGGTGGCAGGTAATAGTTGCAACTTATATGGCGAAGCGACGTGTTTGTTTTTTTCCACTTTATTTGACATATTTGGACTTATGTGATGTGTACGGCAGAAACTACAGTATTTACATTTAGATAATCAGATGCAAGATGCACTTATTTCAAGGTTCTTTGTCTTTCGCATCACGTGGTTCAAGAGGTGGAACAAAATTGTACACAAGGTTCCAGTTACACTCAAAAATAGCTACAATATAAAGTATTAAAGAAACAGTATAAAAGGATATAAGATGTATGCTAAACACTAATAATGTAAGATAATACGGTGTATTAAACAGCAGCCTGAACATAAGTCTTGAGTCACTGTGTTGCTGATTGTTAAAGTCATGATTCAACCTGTTCATTTACATTTTAGATGTTCTGGCACATCAACTGTTTGTGTTTTAGGTCCAACAGGATTTACTGAATTATCAAATAAATTGGGTATTTTAATTCTGATGTCTGATTTAAAGCAAACCGGGTCCAAATGAAACGAGATTATTTCAGTACAAAATATGTATGATTAAAAAAATTATTTCCAACTTGTTTTATTTTGGGAATTGGGGAATGAACATTCAAAGAAGAAAAACAAACCATCACATTATTTTAAATAATAGGTCCTTGTGTGTAAATAAATTAACTATTTTGTTATTTTTGCTAAAAAATAGATCAGATGTTGTTTTTTTAGGCTATCTTTCCTAAATTAATTTTTTTTTAATTGCAAAAGCTAAGGTTTACTCATTGGGTTCTTGTCAATATATCAAGTAAATGTGTGTGTTTGTATGTGGTTGATTTTTGGCAGATCTATTTTTTCATCGGAAAAATGTTGTATGAAGGTGCACTTCTATTAAAACAAACAAGTAGCTCCACGTGTGAATATATGTACAGCTAGGCCTGTCACGATTACAAATTTTGCTGGACGATTAATTGTCTCGGAAATTATTGCGATAAACGATAATATTGTTTGAAATTTGATAATAAATAGTAATTGTTTAATTTGTTTTGCATGTAGTACCTTTTTTGACCACTGGACGGCAGTATAAGACTGTTTGAACCAAAGGATGGATAGTGAGAGAGCGAGCAGCGTGTCTCTTTAAGAACAATGGGAGGGAGGCCCCTTGACGTGACATGGGCTGTCTCTCTTCGGTTCTCAAAATGGCAGACGCTCGGTGTGGTTTGAGCTCGTTAGCATAGCATTTTTCACACAAATCTTTTAATTAAAAATCAGTAAACAAGCTCTCAGCTTCTTTTTGCAGAGAAAAACAACTTTTTAGACGAAGGCACGGGATTCAACCGTGAATTTTGGAGCTTCGACAAGACAGAGGTTTTTTTTTTCCCCAAGGTCAGCCTGTCGGAGCTTAGCTTCTCAGCTTAGCTGTTTTTAACGATCCAACAACGTGATTTTGGACGGCTAAAATGGATTTTAAAGAAAAGAGAAAGGGAAGGGTCAGTGCACCAGAGTTGAGCTTTTTGTCATCCAGTGTCTTCAGTAGAAAGAGACGCTAAGAAACGGTAAAGCCGATAAATGAAAATGACTTTGATCATTTTAATTTATCATGCGATATTAATTGATTTATTGTTTATCACGACAGGTCTATATGCAGCCGATAAGAACTTTATGAACTTAATGTTATTACATGAATTGTTTCAAAGAAAGAAGCAACATTTAGTTACTGTATCTGTGTTTTCCTTCAGAGTCTCCGTACCCTGAAGGCGACCCGATGCTCGTGGCTGTACAAGGAAAAAACGTAACTCTAATCTGCACTGAGACCGCAGCCTCCCCCCCTGCTAACATCACATGGAGAAAAGGGGTGCCGCAAACCAGCATCGAACCGGGATCAAAGTACGTCCTGTCTGACCATGGCCCCAACTACCAACTGACCATACTGAACGTCAGCAAGGACGACGAAGGCTGCTATTACTGCCACAGCCAGAACCAGCTCGGAGCCAAGGACCTGGAGGTCTGCCTCACTGTGAAAGGTGAGTATGCTGAGCAGGTTTATTTGTACGTTCTTGTAAAACCTTGACGGAGACCAAGTGTCGACACAAACTTGTACAGTGAGGTTCTGCAGCGGTAAACAGAGATGATGCAGCGAGATGTAATCTAGAGCTGGAATGCTGGTGAACCTGCTGCCCCACCCTGTTCTGTCTTTTGAATCCTGTCCTTTTTTTTTTCTGCTTTTGCTTTTTGTCCTCAGCATCCTCCGCGTACACCGGGGGGATCATCGGCGTCTTCATTGCATCTCTGATCGTTGGCTCGGCTGTAGTCATAGCAAAAGTCCTTTATTCCAAGAGACACCAAATTTGTCTGGGTACTTTCTATTTTTGTAATATTTTACAGTCAAAATGAAATTACTTTGATGCAGTTATACTGACGTTAAAACTTCTCTCTTGTTATTTCAGGGGGCCTCAGGTGAGTAGCTCGCTCTGCATTACTTTCAGGTTCATACCGTCTGCAGCACTAAAAATGGAGGAAGTACCACACTTCAGGTTGCATTTTACAGCAGAAACTAGTATTCCACGATGCAATATTACTAAATACATTAAAACAGCCTCTCTGTGGCTTATTTTGCAGCGGTGACAACTAGTTTGGTTTTTCCTTTTAATAAAAATAAAGAAATGCTTAAAACATTCAAATTCCAGGATTATAAAAGGAACTTGATGCATCACCCCTGATACAATCTGGAGAAACAGCAGAAATGTAAACCAAGCGCACCGCTCATTATTACATCTGCGCGCACTGACGTGTATAACGTTACACAGTTGTTCCAGTTTTTAAATTTTAGACCGTTCCGCCTCGTGCGTTTGTTTCAAAGTTCCACGTGAGCAGGAATCGTTGAGCTGCATCACAAGCCAATGCTCTGCAGCCCAACATATTTATCTATGGGTGTGGTTCCTTATCTATTTTTCTAAGACGTTAACCAGCAGGATGTGCATGTGGGCTGTTGCCAAACGTTAAAAAAAAAAAAAACATTAACCGTTTTATTACTTTAGTTTGCAAAACCAAATAAAAATATAGCTGAGGAAATGAGCCAGAACATTCTGGAAGAAGAAGAAACTTAAAGGATTGGGTATTAAATTTTAAGCAAATTGAATTTATTCGAGTATGTGTTGGGAATGACTCTCAGTTACTACCACACTAAGTTTTAGTTCAATATTTAAATAAAAAAATGACTGTGGTGGCCATTTTGAATGTGTTTGACTCCAAAATATAATCGGTTATACCATATTTTCCGGTATATAAATCGCTTCAGAGTACAAGTCGCATCAGTCAAAAAAAGCATCATGAAGAGGAAAATATATATATGTCACATTTATTATGCGTTTAATGGTCAAAACAGCTTCATTTCGCCTGGGTGGTGCAGCAACATCCATCCATCCATCGCAGCCGGAGCTGCTAGTTCTCCAGCGTTCCTCCGCCTGCACCAGCTGAGTGAAGCGAGCGCACACGTGAGAACTTGCTGTTGCAGTTCTTCGAAATTTAAAGTGTCAGTCAAAAATCGTGTTATAAATATGGAAAATAAAAAGTATATACTGTAAGTTGCTTCAGCGTATAAGTCACAGGTTTGACAAATCTATGCAAAAAAAAAAACTGCGCCTTATACGCTGGAAAGTCCGGTACATATACATCCAATAGGTACTTTTCTGAAAAGTCTCATTTACAATCTGCCCACTTGGTAAAGAGATATTTTGCTGACAAACAGAAAATGACATGATCGCCTGCTTTTCATGGCGTCGAAGCCAAACTGTAAAAAAAAGAAAAAATAAGTTTAAGGATTGGTACTTTACCAAAGAAGTTCTCTTGGTAATGATTAAATCCCTTTTTCTTTGCCATACATTGAAAAAATATTTAAATGTTTTTGCATTTGGTGGCATCAATTAACGCTAAACATGTTGTAAGCTCTCCACAAAATGTTTTATTGGAGCTTCCTTTGTAAAACACCCTGATGCATGCTCAGTAATCCAGGTAGAAAAATCTTAAAATTGAAGTCGGGTTATCTGGACGGACTGTTTTTGTTGAAACGTTTCGTCTTTTATCCAGAAGACTTCTTCAGTCTGAGGAGCTGCAACAAACTCAGTCTTATAAACGGCACCTTCTCAAAGTGGATCAACTAGTCTGCTGGTGACAGACAAAACTATTTGTCCATATGATAAAGGAGGACCATCAGCCTAACGACCGATCGTTAGTGCCCTGATGACCGCTTGTTATTCACAGAGGGCTGAGTGATACTAGCAATAACAGCATTGTAAGAACTTTGGCTGTGGCTGCCCAGGAGGAGACAACAGGGGAGAGGGCGGGCCCCAGAAACTATTTCATCACCAGCAAACAGGTTGGTCCACTATGGGAGTGCACTGCTTGTGGGACACAGTTTGTTTGTGGCGCCTCAGATTGAAGAAGTCCTTTGGATGAAGGACAAAACATCTCTCAAAAAAAAAAAAAAACACGTCCAGATGACTTGACTGAACTTTGTTGGATTATTTTTTTATTTTTTTTTTACCTGTATTATATTATTGAGCATGAACCTTGACACACTGTAAGAAAGTGACAATTGGACACGGAGGCCTCCGTTCCGTTTAATGATGGATGATTTCTCTTCACAAGGAGGAAGCCATCTTTGTGAACACCAAAGTTCATGCTCAATAATCCAGGTACAAATCCAACAATGTTCAGTCAGGTCCTCTGGACGGTTTCTTCATTTTATTTTCTGCTCAGACGTTTCGTCCTTCATCCAAAGGACTTCTTCAGTCCGAGGAGCCACAAACAAACTGGACTCCCACAACCACCACACTCCCATAGTGGGAAAAAAACAGTTGTGAAGATAAACCATCCAGCATTAAACAGGGCGTTGGCCTCCGTGTCCAGTTGTCACCTTCTAACAATGTTGTTATTGCTAATACCATTCAGCCCTCTGTGAATAGCAAGTGTAGAACATCAGTGTACTATCGGTCATTAGGCTGATGATCCTCCTTTTTCCTGTGAACAGGTACTTCTGGATGTCACCAGCAAACTGGATGACCCACTTTAAAAAGGGGCTATTTTAAAAGACTGAGTTTAGTGCAGCTCCTCAGACTGACAGTCTTTTAGATAAAAGACGAAACGTTTCAACATGAAGAATCCATCCAGAGGACCTCGCACAACTTTTTTTTAGACATTAGTAAAACGGTTGAAACGGATTTTGTTTCTCTGGTTTTGTGCATCCTGGGGTTTCGTTCTCGGTCAGATGTGCTCTCAGAGCAGCGCTCTGGATGAATTTGAAACCTTGTTTGTTCACGTTGTTTTCTTGCTAATATTTCCTGCTGCACCACTTTTACTCGAGTCTCATCATTTTTAGGCAGGTTTTTTACAAACCGCTTTTATCCTAATGAATCGCTCAAATGTGAAACAAACTATAAAAAAATACAGCTTTATTGATCAAGAACTTTAGAAAATACACAAACTTCTGATGACGCATATTAGAGTCTTGCGTATTTGTGTTCTGTTGTCTTACTACGTTCTCTGTCCTGCAGGGACGAGGACAGGGACGACGTCCTGAGCCTGGTGGAATCGGACGATGAACGGGTGTTTCAGGACACCGTCCCCCAGCTGCCTCCGTTAGCCAACGGTCGGCACACGACGCTTGTGGAAGTACATCGGATCCCCTCCTGTACGCTCTCATTGCTTTTTCCTCTGCTTTTGTTCACTGAGGTGTTTGGGGGAAATGACAGTTTCTCCTCTTTCTCAGGCGATCACGAGGAGGCAGAACCTACGGACCTGAGCCCACAGCAGCCAGAAGACACTGAACACACAGAACCAGAGGATCTTGTAACATTTTAGTTTTTTTTTTTTTTTTTTTAGATCAGCGTGTCGTTTTAGGAAAATTAAATTTCCCTCTGCGTGTGAACAGAAATGCTTCTGAGCTTGTTTTTATGTTGTGTTTATTTGTACAGCAATTTAAATTTGTGTTTTTTTGGGGCGTTTTTTTTTTTTATTTTATTTTTTTTTAGCACTTCAAACCTGCATTGTGCAGGTTCTGTGGTAAATCTGGTGTAAAGGACTTTTAACTGTCCCAGCCTTGAATGCAACTCTGCACTAAAATCTTTCAAGTAAAACTCCGTCTTTCTGTTTTCTGCAGTTTGCTCACCAGATACAGATCGATTCACTTTAAGATGATTTGAATCCAGAAAGATTCGCAACAAACCTTGAAGCAACGATGAAACTAAAACCAGGAATGGTGGAACAAACCGTTATATGATCTGTTGAGACTGGTGGTTTAAATCTCAGTGCATGACTCGTTCCTGATGCTTCACACCCTGTCAGAAAAATAAACATTTATATACGGAATGGTTTGTTAGACAAAGTAGATATGTCATTTTGTAAACCGAACTGCTTTTGAAAATAAAAACAAATTTCCACTGCACTAAAGTGAACTCATTGTTTCAAATAAACGAGAGAAATGTATTCACAGTGGAGTGAAGTGATGTCGATTAAGGGAAACTTCAAGCTGAATGCTGTGGTCTTTAGTGTACATTTTATTTGAAATAATTTACCATGGTGTTTTAAATGGGCCAAAGTGAGCTGATGCATTTAAACAATGTGATCCAGTGAAATGCACACAGAAAAATAAAAAGGCTGGAAATGAACTGTGAGCTCAAATGAATAATTTATGATTTGTATTTTAAAACGGCTGTAGGAAGACTTGGGTTATTTTATTTTCTTTAACGTCTCGACGCTTCCATCAAGACAATTTAAAACCATTCCCTCTGACTAATCAAAGGTTGTAGAAGGTTTAATTAAAAAAGCTGATTTAATATCAGTTTTTTATATATATATAATGTAAACAAGTGCATTTATATTCATATTTATTTAATCTAGTTTTATAGCTCCGTTTCAGAGAGGAATGTTTTGCTGCAGGGGCATACAGTCATTTATGACTTGGAAATAAGGAACTTGCAGCTCTATCAAGAAGATAAAATCTATAAACCATATTCAAATTTATTATTTATGTAGTGGTATTTTTGAGGTGGTATATACTTTATTCTCAATAGATTCTGATTTTAGTTGCGTCTTCAGTTTGCAGAGGTAAAGTCAGACGTGTAACCAAAGATAATCCTGAAAAACTAAATCTTTTGACAATAACCAGGTAAACAAGACAAGTTTTGTTTTTGTTAGAAGCTCATAGTTTCTACATTCATTCATTTGAATGTTATGTATAATAAATATGAGATCAGAGCTGCCGCTCAGCGAGAAGGTTGCTGGTTCAAATCCCAGCCCGGGACCTTTCGGGGTGGAGCTTGCGTGTTCCGTCTGTGCATGCGTGAGTTTTCTCCGGGTACTCCGGTTTCCTCCCACAGACCAATAACATGCATGTAAGACTGATGGGTAACTCTAAATTGTCTCAGGTGAGTGAGAGTGAATGGTTGTTTGTCTTTCTATGTGTCCCAGATGGACTGGAGACCTGTCCATGGTGTCCCTGGCCTCTCGCACATTGACAGCTGGATATGGGCACCAGTGACCACTGTGACCTGAGAAAGAAGTGGGTGAAGGTGGATGGATTATTCCCAGATGACTGGTCCAAAGGGTCAGAGAAGGAAACCATTTAACGTTTGGCATCTGTTTTTAAAGCGAGCGAGCCAGAAAGCTTGGATTATCTTCTGTGGATCATGGAAATGTGACTCTAGACCACATGTTTTGTGGCTCTGGAGGTTTAGGACTTTGTTCCCCGAGGCATTTTGTTGGGGGTGCTGGGGTCAGTGTTGAGGGCTATCTGGTCCCTGTATATCCAAAGCATGAAACGTGATCTCATTCTTGACACAACGTTGAGCTCCTTCTCTGTGAGCGTTTGGCTTCACCAGGGATGTCTCTTCCCTTAGATCTTGTTCGTGGTGTTTCATGGACTGGATCTCATGGCGCAGTCGTGGAGAGGCAGGTGTCGGGGTTGGAAACCTCAGTGTTTGCCACAGTGCGCACTAAAGGTTGTCTGTAAGCCAGTTTACAGCCGAGTGTGAACGGCTGGGATGAGAATCCGCTTCTCATGGTGCTCAACTTGGTGGAATGCTCAAGCAAAAGAGTTCAGTGTCTATGGAAAAAACCACTCTCGCTGTATCTTACTCAAAAGGAGCCACGCTCAGAGAAGATTTTCAATTGTTTTTTTCTTGCAAGGATAGATTTTCAGGACAGGTAACAGGAAGTACACGCACGAAGCCCAGTCACAAGAATCTGCCACGGGCAGCGTGTGCAGCTTGTTTTTATACACTTATCAGTTCAGCTGAGTTCACAGACTCGGAGGCGTCCTTGTAGTGTCAGCTGCACGTAGCAGCCTCACCAAGCTCCTCATTCAGATTTCTACTAACCCCAACATATGGTTCATGGGCAGAGGTAACATTCTCAGCCATAGCAGTTAAAAAACATCTAAAAACTTTGACCAAAAATTCCCTAACATCTGGAAGTCTTGTTCACGAGTGCTGGCAGGATGAAATGAAGATGGATCACTGGGTTGAGGGCTAGTCCACTGAAGGCTTTGGTTCGGTCTGTTGGGGTTCAAGTAGGAACTGAGCCGAAAAGCAGAGCTCTCAATTTACTGTGCAGTATACGTTTCAATTGCCACTTACGGTCATGAGATACGGATCACAACCGAAAGAAGATCCTGGATACAAATGGCTGAAATGGACTTTTTCCATTGGTTGGCTGAGCTCGACCTTTAAAGATGAGACAAGAAGCTTCCAGATCTGGGGGGAATCTTGAAGTAGAGCCACATCGAAAGAATTCCGCTGATGTGGTTCAAGGTAAAATGCCACCAAGACACCTCCTTTTGGAGGATTCCCAGGTGCATACTACTGGGAAGAGACCACAGAGCAGACCCAGAACTGCTTCTCTGGCAGAAGAACACTTAAGGATGCTTTAATGGTTCCAGTCACTCGTTTTAAGCTCAAAGGTGACGGGTCTTTCTCTGTTGCAGGTCCAAATCTGTGGAACGAGTACCACAGCATGTCAGACAGGCTCACTGTTTTTAAGTCTCGTTTGAAAACTCACTTTTATTCCCGGGCTTTTGACACGGTGTGAGTTGATTTTAACTTGTCTGTATTCTATAATGTTAGACATTTAGTATGTCTTTACCTCGGTGTGATCTATGTATTTTTTGCTGTGTCCTTTGCTTGTTTTTGCCGTACACCACTTTGGTTGACCTTGTTGCTGCTTTAAGTACCTTTATAAATAGTGGTATGGGACGGTAGGATCCCCTTTCACAAGTGGGGCCTGCAGGCCAGAGGTGGCCTGCCAAGCTGTCCTCATTACTATATTAAAATTTCCTTTGACATGTCAGTGTGTTTACACTCAGTCATTCTGACTGTTAAATGTTAATGTTAAATGGAAAGTCAGCCCAATGACTACCTTAATGGCACTATACAGCTGGAGTGGCTATTTTGTGCATTAAATTATTTAATTTTACTCATTTATATTTTATTTTGACAGACTTCCTACAGCTTCTTGCCACTGAAAAACATTTTCATTTGATCCTGCACTAATACACTTATAAATCACACATAAAGCGTTTAAAAATAGCCTAAATTATAGATATGAACTGGCTTCAGTAGTGATTTTAGCCTCTTTTGGGGGGTGCTCAAGCACACCTCTGAAAAATAACATTGTTAGGATTTTGTAAGGAAACAGTTCTCAAACCTTAGTCACCAAAATATTGAATAAAGGACAGTCTCAAACAGACAAGTGAAATCTATGATCTTTTTTTTTGCACGAGTCCTGCCACCTGTCAGTCAATCCAGCATGTCAGCAACTGACCAATCAGCAACCTCGATTTGTCCTGAAGTGAACGCCCCTTACCTGCAGAGCTGCAGCTTCGCAGTCACAGATTTCAATAATGAGTTCCCAAGATCCCCAGATCCCCCACCACCAACACAGCCTGTTCTGTAATGTTCTTTATATAGAATTGAAGGTTAAATAATTGCATAATGAATAAATGGACTTTATTTAAAGAAGTATTGTATTATTGCATTTGGCTCGCAGCCCTCTGATAGATTTTAAATTTGGCCCTCTCAAGAAAAATGTTTGGGCACCCTGAGCTAGAGTTTGAACACATTAAATTACATTAAGTTCAACAAAGATTTACTTTCACTATCTTTCATGGTTTGACCCAAGTATTTATTTATATACATATTTGATTTACTTACTGTTTAACCTGATCAGTGTTATCTGAAGCTTCAATTAAATCCAAGTGTAGGTGTCAAGCTTTTAGAAAAGCTTCAGTTAGTCGTCAGTTTATTTCTTTTACTTTTGTCAAAGTCTGTGTTAAATTGTTCTTCGTTTGTTCGTACTCTGGGAATTTGTTCTTGGTTCGGCTAAAGTCCACCTGTAATAATAAAATAAAAGTATTGTGCAGATAAAACTGCTTTATCATAAAACAAAAAGGAGCGACACGTTGTGGGCGTGGCTAAACGCTGCCAGCAGTTACGTAACCACAAAGGAGGAACGTGAGCACGTTGAGTAACGTCGGAGGCGACGGTACAAATGAGTCACACTTGAGAAATCAGCTGAACGTTTTGTTTCTCGCCGCATTTTTCACATAGCAGCTACCTGAGCTCAGGGACACCGGAGTCTTCTTCGTGGACAGCGGCGCGTCTTCCTGTCTTCGTTCAAATGGACAAGCAAAGTCCAACAGCGAGGACGAACCAAGGACTTCCGTCTTCACTGAGAGGAATGTGAGGAACGATGTGCTCCGCGGAAAGCAACACGGACCTGGAGCCGACATGTAAGTTTTATCCGGGAGACATATATGTGGTTACCATGGCGACGCTCTGACAACCTGAGCGGAGGTTTTGTGTCGACCCCCGACCTTCAGTCACCGTGAATGCATCTTTTCCCCCCACAGCCCCGGACCCAGCTCTCCTGCTGGAGCTGAAGACCCGGCGTACCCCGTCCTTGCTGGACCGAGCGGGATGCGAGACCTGGAGCGTGGACTTCTCCCCGGACGGAACCTGGTTCGCCTGGTCCATGGGACACGGGATCGTGTGGGTGGTCGCCTGGCCGCTGGACTCAAAGTAGGCACGACGCATTCACGTACCCTCGGACATTCAAACCTCTTTGAGCAAACCAGAAAAACAGGATTACGTTCATATTACTATTATTATAACGGATAAAAAGCCCTCTTAATGCATCTAAGTGGATATATTTTTAATTAAAATATATAAAGTGTCCAAATAAACTAAATAAAACTGAATTCTAGCTTATTGTAGTTTTGTTGTACCAGTTGAAGTAAAAATCACAATTGCTCAGCTTAGGTTTAATGCATAAGAAACCTGTTTTAAAAGACAAAAAAAAAAAGAATGTTGAGAAAATGCACTGTAGACAAATAAAAGCTGTAATTTCAAATTGTATGCGTTTACAGTTGAATTATACAAGCGACTCAATTTAAGCCATTAGCCTAATTACGCATCGACTGTAAAATAAATGTCCAGGTTTATTTATGAAGCACATTTAAGAACCACTAGTATTGGACAAAGTGCTGTATATAAAGTGGTAACAAAGTGCAGAAGATCAACTAAAGAAAACGGCAGGAAAAAAAAGTGCATAAAACCAAATTATACTGAATATAAAATAGTAGTACTTTCAACTCTCACTGAATTAAAAGCCTATGTCTGCTGTGTGGGTGGCATTTTAAATTCAAATTACACACAGACTATTCATTCACCCATAGAATTATTTATATATATATATGTATGTATGATAGATAGATAATATGTAATTTTTTGTTTTTTTTTCAATTAATCCTTATTTCCCAGTTCTGCTTCCCTTACTCGCCATCTTATGATGAAGACTCATGTTTAGTCTCATTTATTCCTAATAAATGTTCATTAAAATGGTTCAAATTTAGTTTCACTATTTATCTATCTTTAAAATAATTATGTGTACAATAATAGGTAACATAATTGCATAGTCTTGTGTTTGATGTCAGTCTTTGCAACACACTTTGGTGTATTTTCTCCTGAAAACCTGCACCTAAGAACCTAATTTTTTTAGCTGTTTCTTTTTTTAAGTTTCACTATTTTTTTAAATTCCCAATGAGGATTTTATTTTTCTTTATGATAAATACTAAAGCTTCAACAAGCTTTTCTTTATCCCAGTCATCTAAATTGCGAGTGTATTTAATTAAAAACGCTGCCATGCTTGGTCGTTTGCATGACTGCACCAGCCTGCCTCAGTGTCGACACAGCTCAGTCTAAAAGTGGGGAGTTATCAACTCCTTTTTTCTTGCTTTAAATAAAAAACAAGAGAAGCAGAAAATCACACTTGCATTGTTAACAGCAGTCTAAAAACAGCATCTCCTCATCACGAGCTGCACCTCTGCCTACATTCATTTGCACGCTTGATGCCACTCTCGCCCACAGAGAGGGTCAGGACGGAGACACCGACCGAGCAGACAAAAGCTTCAGCTGTGGTCAGCTGGTGTGGGGTCTCGCCTTTGGACCCAGACCCCCCAAAGTGTCTGCAGCCGCGCATCCGTCACCAAAAGGGAAGGACAACCTGCTTCTGGCCACAGGCTTGGAGAGCGGGGTGATCAAGATCTGGAACGTGTTAACAGGTACGCCCACTCGAAGGGCGTGTTCTGTTTGCTGTGAAATACTGGCAGGCTAAATTTGAATTCCTCTCTTTGTCTGCAGGGAATGCTGTGTTTGATCTCCATGGCCATGAGGGGGTTGTGAGGGACCTGGTTTTTCCTCAGAACGGGTCCCTCACGCTCATATCATCATCTCGGGACAAGACTTTAAGAATTTGGGACTTGGCTCACAAGGGTACGCACTCAGTTTTGTTGATGAAAGAAAAGATGTTTGACAACATTAACACTATTATTCAGAGTCAGCTTTGTTGTCATTGCACCGAAGCACAATGAAATTACATTTCAGAACAGCCCGTCCAAAGACGGAGGTGTCTGAGGCTGCGGCCTCGTGGGAGGTGCTGCCCGACCCTTTTTTTTTTGTTAAAACACAGTGTTAACATTGTTTTATAGGTAAATTACCTGAAAAATAGGCATTGTTTGCTTTTAAAGTGAACTTTAGTATACATTAATCTCCTTCTTAAAAATATAAAGGAGATTAATTTGACAATATAGAAATGTACGGTCTTCAGAAGTGAACTTGTTCCGTCTGCTCCAGTCATTTAACTTGTCTTATATAGGAGCATGTTCGAACTTTACTCAGACATTTATCTGCATGAGCTTCACACTGATTGTTGCCGGTGACCATGACCCCTCCCGGTGAATCACTACAGGCTGAACAGAACCTGTTCTCGTGCAGGAGACTTCAGCCCACACATTCCTGCTTGGGACGAACGCTCTTTAGAAACGAGTTAGCAACATTTCTTTGACCTCAGTTGGATTTTCTTGTGTGTTTTTAGGTAAAAAGGTTCAAGTTCTGTCTGGTCATAAAGACTGGATCAACTCCTGCTGCGTGTCGTCCGACTGCAGCATGATTGCGTCTGTTGGCAGGTTTGACAGAGTGAGTCGTTTGGTTCCAAACGCTGCAGCGAAGAACATTTACATATTGAAGATCTCAAAGAATGCTATTTATATTCTGTGTTTTCTGCATGTCTTTCAAATCTCAGATGTCTAAAAGCTCCAAAATTAGAAAACATTTTCATCTAGTTCTGTCAAATTACTTGTCTCAGTAGCATTTGCTAAATTATACAAAGGGAAGAGGATATTTAGATGTAATTATTTGTAATCTTTTACAGGTTTTCTGTCCATTTTCTAAAGCATTTCCTGCGGTAGTTAGGAAAAGCCAAGCTACACCTAGTTTTAAGGCGTGACTGTACAGATTTCCTGTGGCTGCCTTTGACCCAGTTTGTTGCTCTTGGACTTGGGAGCTTTATGATAATCATCATCTGCTCCTGTGTTATATCACAGGTCAGCATGTTTACTGTTTTCATGCAGAGAAACAGTGGAGGGCAAATGTGACATCCTCAGCTGCAGCTCAAGGAATCCCAGACTTTAATTTCCCAATAACTTTTAACAGTTTGCATGTTGTGGGCTGTCCTGCTGACGAAGCCAGAACATCACGTTGAGAATCACGTTACTTGATCATCTAGCTTTGCAACCTCCCTGCAGATAACTTGACTAAACCAACTGTAAATGTCCATTTTAAAAAAGAGGCCTTTCTGCTTATGGACTCTTCATGTTCCCACTTTGACCAGATGGTGTGTCTGTGGAGTCTCCGCTCATATACGTTCATCAGGAACCTGACTGGAGGGAGCAATAAAACGTTGTGTCTGCTGTCCTCCTGCGACTTCTCTCCAGACGGAGCAGTTCTCGCCACTGCTGCCTTCAGTGGCTCCAGCTGGTGGATCGACCTCTGGGACCCGTATACAGCTGAGAAACTGGCCACGCTGGCGTAAGTTTACTTTATTTTTTAAATGTTGAACATATTCCAGAGTATACCTGCCACTATACACACCTGAAGCAGCTATATGTGGTTTTTAGTGACTACTTTGAAGATTATGGGCAAAACCAGATATCAGCAGTCCAGTTCTCCCCCGATGGTTTGCACCTAGCAATTGTGACTGATGATAGGTGACTGTTTTTCTTTTAATAAACAAGTAATATAATAAATATTTGTCACGGTGGACAAACGGTTTCTGACAGATGTGCTGCATCTGTAGGGCTCTGAGGATCTGGGAGCCGGGAGAGAGACGGATGACCATGCAGACGAAGAGAGACCAAGTCTCCAACGGTCTCTGCTGCAAATACCATCCACAGGGTGGAGTGATCGCCACAGGGTAAGTCGGTCCTTCCAAAACCAGTCGTTTAAACATTCAACTCTTAGTGTATGTGGATTTACAGACCCTTTCCAAAAAAATGTAAATATCATGGAAAAGTTGTTTAACTTCAATCTTTAATAGATGATCGATTCAGGGCCCACAATTTAAATGATTTCAAAAATTTATTTGTTTATTTTTACATAATTTGGGCTTCCAGCTCATGAAACCCACGAAAACAGGATTAAAAAAAAAAAATAGATTACTGTGGAGAAATCAGCCCAGATTTTTCATGACATAACTGTTTTAAACTGATTGTGACACACTGATCAGCTACTAAACTCAAAGCACCTGCACAAGTTTCCCCAGGTGTCATTAAATTGCTTCAGTTTGGTTCAGTTCGGTTCAATATGGGGAAGACTGCAGACATAACTGGCCAGAAGACCATCATTGAGACCCTCTATAGGATGGGTAAGCCACAAAGGCTCATAGCTAAGGAGGCTGGCTGTTCACAGAGTGCTGTGTCCAAGCACATCAATGGAAAGTCTAGTGGAAGGGCAAAATGTGGCAGAAGAAGATGCACCAGCAAAAGAGATGACCGTGGGCTTCAGTGGATGATCAAACAGAGAAGATTCCAGAATCTGACAGAGATCCAGAAAGAGTGGAATGAGGCCGGAGTCACAGCTTCAAAAACCACCACATTCAGACGCATCCAGGAGATGGACTACAACTGTTGAGATCCTCGGGTCAGGCCATTTCTGAACCTGAGCCAATGTAGGAAGCTTCTCAACTGGGCCAAGGAGAAGAAGGACTGGACCGCTGGACAGTGGTCCAAGGTCCTCTTTTCCGATGAAAGTAAAGTGTGCCTTTCATTCGGAAATCAAGGTTCAAGGGTTTGGAGGAAGAAGGGTGAGGAACAGAGTCCATACTGGTTGAGGTCCAGTGTGAAATATCCACAGTCATGATTTGGGGTGCAATGTCCAGCGCAGGTGTTGGTAAACTCTGCTTTCTTAAATCCAAGGTCACCGCAACAGTCTACCAGAATGTTTTAGAGGACTTCATGATTCTTTCTGCTGAGGATCTGTATGGAGATGCAGATTTCATCTTCCAGCAGGACCTGGTCCCTGCCCATGCCGCCAGAAGCACCAAAACCTGGTTTGATGCCCATGCCACAGTGCTTGACTGGCCAGCCAACTCGCTGGACCTAAACCCCACTGAGAATCTATGGAGTGTTCTCAAGAGGAACATGAGGAGCACCAGCCCCAAGAACAAAGAAGAGCTGACAGCATCAAGGAAATTGAGACAGTGATTAAGGCAAAGGGATTCCCAACCAAGTATTGAAGACTGACGTATCGTATTGAACGTACCATATTTTGATTGATTTGTTATGAAAACTGAAGTAGTGTGGGCTGATGTCTTCACAGTATTCTAATTTTTTGAAATCCTGTTTATGTGGGTTTCGTGAGCTAGAAGCCCAAATTATATAAGAATAAATAAATACTTGAAATCATTTAAATTGTGGGCTCTGAATCTATCATGTATTAAAGATTGACTTCATCCATCCATCCATTTTCTTTACCCGTTTGTTCCATTTTGGGTCACGGGGGTCGCTGGTGCCCATGTCCAGCAATCACTGTGCGAGGGGCGGGGTACACCCTGGACGGGTCGCAAGTCCATCACAGGGACACATAGAGACAAACAACCATTCACTCTCATTCACACCTAGGGACAATTTAGAGTTACCAATCAGCCTAACATGCATGTTTTTGGACTGTGGGAGGAAACCGGAGTACCCGGAGAAAACCCACGCATGCACGGAGAGAACATGCAAACTCCACCCAGAAAGGCCCCTGGACCGGGGTTTGAACCAGGGACCTTCTCACTGAGAGGCAGCAGCTCTACCAGTTGCGCCACCGTGCTGCCTAAAGATTGACTTTTTGAATGGAATTGTGGAAGTTAAACATCTTTTCCATGATATTCTAATTTTTTTGTAAAGGGGGATTTATGAAATTTAGTGGCCAAGTTCCTCGCAATAAGATATAAAGTCAGCAAGTTTCATTTAAATAAAATGTATTAAAAGATTAACTCATTTCTCTGCTGCTATCGTTACAAACATTGACATAAAGCTCTTTAATTTTTATTAAAAACATTAACTTGGACTTGCATCAATTTCCAAATCCCCAGTTGTGCTTCTAAGACATTCTCAGCATTTTTCCTTTATCATTTCCGGCAGGATATGTGCATAGATGCATAAGTGCTTTTACTCTCATTTGTATGAAAATACACACACAAAAAAACAGTTTTGGTTTCACTTGTACTTTTCTTTTCAATCCTACTGAGACCCTGCGAGTCATTTTGACCCAAGGGCAGCAGGAGGGTTAAATCTGTGACCTGAAGCCTTTCAGACACACGGTGTTCTCACCAGAACAAGAACTATATTAAATAATAAAAAACATGTTGGCATGTTTAGTTTTTTGCCCCATTTACTGGATTGACTCTTAAGGTCCTTCGTTTTATTCAGGCAATAAGAAGTTTATTTTACATGTGATTCCAACAGTTTTAAATACTTCTAAGGACCTAAAAACTAAAGTACACGGTACCAGCTCTTGATTTTTTTTTATTTTTTGGACCAGCTTTTGTTCTTGTTTCGATACAAGTTGATAACCAGTTTTGTTTGGGTGGCTGAGTGGTCGCCCTCAAACGGAAGAGTTGGGGGTTCAATTCCACCAACAGTCACATGCTGAAGTGTCCCTGGGCAAGACACTGAACCCCTCATCGTCTCCCATCAGTGCATGAATGTGATAAAGCTCCGATTAGTCTCTTTAGAATAATGTGTTCAGGTTATCTTTGTAATGTAGTAGAGCTGTATGAATGTGTGAATGTCAATGAGGGCAGATTCTGTTGTAAAGTACTTTGAGTATCTTAGATAGAAAGACGCCATAAGTACAGTCCGTTTACCATTTGTTTAGTCATGTAACGTTTAGTTGGGAGATGTTGGTTCAAAAATCACTAATATTGCAACTTTATTGGAATATAAACGTATGAATCCTGTTTTTCTCTTTTTAAACTGCTTGGACATGTATTTTCTGGCCACCACCAGTGTTTCTGTAGCGTCCTCTGCACCCTCACTTCTCACGGCTTTATTTTTCTAGCATTCATGTTCTCAGAAAATGTTTTTTTTTTTTTATTCCAACTGAACCACCAGGACTGTGAACACGCCTCGTTTTTCTCTCCTGGCAGAAACCGAGACGGCCACGTGAGGTTCTGGAGGGCTCCCAGGCCCGTGCTCAGCTTGTGCCACCTGTGCCGATCCATCCTGCGCTACTCGGTGTCCACGCACCAGATCGAGGCGCTGCCGCTCCCCAGGAGGATCCTGGAGTACCTCACCTACAGAAACATCCCTGAACGCCTCAAGACCTGCTCCTCCTCCGATGAAGAGGACTGGGACAGTTAAATAACTAAACTGAGAGAAGCTCCTATTATTTATACTCTTTAACAAAATGCCTTTTCTGTTTACTAGCAAGAGCTTAAAAAAAAAAGAGGAAAACCAACTATCTTTGTAATCGACGTTAGATGCACTAAGAACTTCTTATTTGCACTACATTCAGATGCATAATAATTATTCACATCATTTGACTTGAATATCATGCTTTTTATACTGCTAATTTATTGTGTAAATACAAAATGTACAGAAAAATCTAATCCCTGTGTTTATTTTTCTGCTTTATTTGCACCTTTATTGTAATAAAACTACTTATATGGAGAAGCCTTTATTAAACAGATAAAACCACAAACGTGTCTATTTTATTTTCACACAAAGATGGATCAATGACTGTGACAGCAAGTAGATTTGTTTGTTTACTGTTTGTACACAGGTTTTAGGGGCTGCGGTCTTGTAATCCTGAGGTTGTGGGTTCAAGCCCAGGTTGCGTCAATCGTCATCCGGCAACAAATGGTTAAATCTTATGAGGCGACTCCTGAAGGGAGCAAGTGAAAAACTATTTTTTTACTTACAGATGTGTGAATCAGACAGCTGTTTCACACTGCGTGCTGCTCGGTGAACTTCGTATAGGAAAACAAATTTTTCCGTGAAGATTTGGTCAATTTTTAAAGTTTTAAATACGTCAAACAAAAGTGGCTTAAAGTGGTGACGCTGCAAACCGTTACTTGAAATGTCTTTTTATTGAAGTAAAAACTGAAAACATCACTGAGCTGCTAACACTGATTTTTATTTTCCTCTAAGAAGCTTCACTGACCACCAGGTCCCTCACTGCCTGGAAAGCTGCAACCATGGAGCTCAGCTGGATCTTCTCATTTGTCCCGGATGAAAGTCGATGTCTTCCAAAAAACAAAGATGAAAAAAAGCAGGAAATTATGGATATAATAATGGAACCACTTGTTTATTAAAATAAGCGTCACACTCACTCTATGTCGGCTAACTTGATGAGAAGAGTGATCCGAACGGCCGAAGGAAAGTCCACTAGAATAAACAAAAACAAGAAGCATAAAAGTTGAAACAAAAACGAACGTGCATTTTGTTCAGGGTATTATCGTAAAAACCTTTCTACAAAGAAACACACACACACTACTTTTATCTAATACGATGCCAGAGGATGAAGTTCAAAACAAATCAGGTAGTTTTTCTGTTTGACGATGTTGAAGCATTTCAAACATCCAGTGTAACCAAAATAATAAGTACCATATTTTCCGCCGTACATGTCGCACCGTCCTATAAGTCACATCCGTCCAAATATGTCTAACAAAGTGGAAATATCCATAAATACTTCGCATCTATTATGTGTCATGGCTGACGCGTCACGTTTGTTGCACGTCACCGCTGGCAACCTGAAAACGTGGGCCGGTGTTGTGCCAAAAAATGATTGGCAGCCAAACGGCGGCCTCGCAAGCGTGCACGGGAGGACTTTAACAAGATTAACACTTAAAAACAATTATTTGTTTGCGCGACTTTATAGTAAAGGTGTTTCTCAGTCTACCTTTTGATTCATAAAATGCACTAACAGTCAAATCAGCTGCATTTCAAAAGTATTCGCTGCCTCGGTGCTCCTGGGAGCGCAGACAGAAAATCAGGACGGAGGAATTCTACGCATTTCTTCAAAATTCAACAAGATAAGCACCTAAAAACTATTATTTGTTTGCTCGACATTATAGCAAAGGTGTATCAGTTGAACTTTTACTTAATAAATGCACTTCAGTGGTCAAATCAGCTGCATTTCGCCGAGGCGGCGCAGCGAAATGAAGCTGATTTGACGGTTGCTCCAGGCGAGCTGGACGAAGGTGGCAGGCTATGACAAGCCGATTGTGTCACTTTTTCCTATTACGTGACACAACGGCATGCCACAGTACTTGAGCGCTATCTAGCGGCTGAAAATGGTAGTGTTCAATATTTTCAGTCAGAATGAATGAAAACGGTCATATCTCAGCCAAAAGTTGGTTTATAAATATGGGGGAAATCCATAAATAAGTCGCTTTGCCGTACAAGTCGTAGGGCATGCAAATTATGCAAAAAAATGCAGCTTATATGGCGAAAAATATGGTCCTTAAAAAGTCAATTGCACCAAAGCATAAAAAGAAAATACATTAGTTAGACCAATCATAACAATGGTCATTAGGTCAATAAAAACCTTGAATTTTTCATTGCAACAGTTATTACGTCATTAAAGATTGACTAAATTAGGCCGTTTCTGCAGGAATTCTTACATTCTCAGTGGTAAGAAGCCCCCCTAATGTTCATTTGATTGTAGCAATAAGAAGCTGTAAGTATAAGACATATTCCACACATTTATTTTGACCGACCTCTGTGGATGAGCAGGTGCACCTCGGTGAGAATATCATGCAGAGCCAAACCTTTCAACGTCTTCAGGTGAAGGATTTCTGCAAGAACCCTTAAAGAAACACAAACTAAACCGTTGGATCTTGTTTTACCATTTGAGAAGGTTTACAAAACCATACAAAACCTGAGAATTGCAAAGACAAGTAATTTATAGTTATTACCTCCTTAGTTTTCATTAAACCTAAGTTTCATCTGTTGGAAGCAGAGAAAGGTAATTATACTGTAAGGCATGTGGGAGTGGGGTGTCCAAGTACACAGAGAGGGGTGGAATAGTTTGTAATTTCATACGGCGCAGCTCCAGAGTAAAATTCCTGGAGACGGACGAGTTGAAGGATACGTCTGTAAGCTGTGTTAAAGTCTTTGTTGAGGCACCAGTCGAGGATGTTGGCGATGTCTGAGCGGAGGGGCTGTCCGGTGCAGGTGTACACCGTGTTCTCTGTGACCTTCCCGTACGCCATACTGGTGCTCTGAAATCAGAGGCGGAGCACAGTTCAGCCTTCTATTGTTGTTGGGAGAAGACATATGATAGGAAAGTGAACGTTATAGTCCGGCTGAGAGCAGTGTAGTGAGTCACGTGAGGTACGTGTCACTTGTTGTATGACAAATATATGAATTATATATGCATACAATATTCACGAGTTCTTCATTTTTCTGACTGTAAATGTCGTGCATTGAATTTAACAGAAATGTAACGAGAGACGTTATTTATCTTTGACCCATCAAATGAATGGAATCATTTATTTTCAGAATCAAAGTTTAACATCAAACATTTACATTAATTTGGCAAAATATGAAAATAATAACAGACAGTTTCACAGAAAATGAACTTCAAATCACTCGGCGGTGATTTGAGGACTTTGCTTAAGATATTTCTAAAATATCTGTACTGATTTATGAGAGAGAGGTGGGTTTTAGAGTGAAAGGAGATTATCTTACAGAGAACTGTGTGAGGGAAGTTTAATCTGTTTAACCAGAAATTGCACGCTCCGTCAGATCCTCAGCCCGTCCACGGTACACTTTAGTCGAAGAAGAAGCCTTTACCTGGTTTGACGATAGATCAGCTCAGTAAGCATCCTTCAGACTGTTTCCAGCGCCTCCGTTAAGCACAGCTAAAAATCCTCGGAGAGTCGTGCGTGGTTAGCTCAAAACAGACTTATAATCCCAAACGTCCCTGGTTCTTCATAACTCCAAACTCTTCATAACCGGTTGCATCTCTCAGAACTCTCATTCTCTTGTCAGCTCTCATTCTAACTTGAACTGGGCAGTTGTCACATTTTAAATGAGTTTACTTCCTGTTCAGTTTAGAGCTTTCTGATTCGTGGAAGGACCAGAAAGAGGTGTGTTTTTGGCGTAAGGTGTTTATCAACAGTCGAGGTCAGAGAATGAAACTTGTTTAACATACAGAAAAGATTATTGCAGAAGCAGCAGACTTCGTGGAGTCTCACACTTTGTAATCTTTTCAAATAGTAAAACATGACATTTTTCTCGGTAAACATTTTAGTTGACCGAAAACCAACCTTTAACATACTTACGACAGCTTGCTCATTTCAGACAGAAAATCAAGAAAGTCATATTCAGGTGATTTCTTCTCTGAATGAGGAACAAAACTCATTACTTACTGTTTATGTAAAATAAAAATTAGTAGTTCTTTTCAACCTGTAAAGCATTGAGTGAACTAACACAATTTGATTGTCAAAACATTTGTAAGACAGTAATGATTATAGAGGATTGTCTTTTCTGCTTGATTAATTCAAGAAAGAAAGTTCATCAGATGGTTCAGACTTATTCAGATCAATGAAAATAACAGTCTCTGTCCATCTGGTATATTTGAGGTCATCTGGTTCACTACAGCAGCGATCATACCTGCAAAATGTTGAGCGATCTTCTCATGTCGCCTGAAGATAACGTGACGACAGCCTTCATTCCATCTGGAGTCATGTCAATGCTGCCACAAATACAAAAAAATAAAATCTTTTTAAGATCACTCAGAGTCAAGATAACTGTTTGATGAAAAAGTTTTAAAAACAACAGCGCCCCCTATTGGTTCTGCTTCTTAAAGCACAATTGCTGAAACAAAGAAAATCCACCCAGTCCACTGGGACAATGACGTGTAGAAAATATTTGCCAGATGGATAATCTCAGGGTTTTTTTTTTTTAGACAACTAAATACCTAAAAATATATATATTTGTTTGACTGAAAATGCAACAATAGTAGTGAAATACGGGAATATTTTCTTACTTCTCCTGATGGATAACGTGCTCCAGTCGAGGTATCATCTGGTCCGGAGACAGCGGGCCGAAGCGGAACCTGGTGCAGCGCGACTGCAGCGCCGGGATGATCTTGGACAAGTAGTTGCAGATGAGGCAGAATCGAGTGTTTTCTGTGAACTTCTCAATCACTAAAAGGGCACGAAGAGAAGACGCATTAAGTAGGAATTAAAAAAAAAAGATGCCATGTTGCTTTGTTAAGATATTTTCAATCTAGACTGGTTTTATGAGTTTGATCTGCTCAGAGACGGGATTATAATGAAATTGTGACCCGGTCTGGGCCAGCAAACTCTTAAGAGAGTCTCTCCGATAATTCAATATCTGTCAAGAAATAGTTTAATCAGTCTAGATTGAAAATATCTTAACAGCTTATAAGCATCGTGAGGCCAATAAAAAGTCAGCTCTTCAGAGAATTACCCCCCCCCCCCCCAGTTTTATGGAGTTAAACGTAATGCTCTTCAAAAATTTTAACGTTCACAGGTTGTTCAAAAATTATTTAATATCTGACATTTCTATTGATTAAGGATAAACTGTAATAGCAGAACCTGAAAGCGCATTGCAGCTTTTTCCAATCCATAGTTGCACAATTAATAGCAACAAAACCCAGATAATTAAAAAAAAAAAAAACAAGAACACAGAAACATCTTTTTATTTTTATTCAATCTAAAGCCGAACTCTTCCTGAAATAATTGCTTTTTCATGAACAAACTTAGCAAGCATTCAAAAGCAGCCAAATGAAGCGGCTGCTCAGCGAGCTGTGTCGCTCAGTGGGCGACGCCCGGAGAACAGATGGCTCACCTCGCCGCAATGCATTCTGGGCATCCTGGGTCATGGCATCAGCCTCATCTAGAATCACCAGTTTGAAGCCCTTCCTGGTGAACAAGAGGGTACAAAAAAAACAGATGACAGAGTACAGTTTAAATCTGTAAATAACCAAAAAAAAAAGCTAAATAATTGATTTTTTAAACCCACTTGAAAATGGTCCTGGTGCTGGCAAAACTCAGAATTGGACCTCGTACGACATCGATACCTCTGTCATCTGACGCGTTTAGCTGCAAAACAAAGTGAGTCAATTTTTACCCTCTTGCCATGGATCCAGTTAGTGATGGCCAAATGAAGCAATAAAGCAGTATTGAACCACTTTGCCAATTGTATTGAACTTGGGTTCATTCATTCAAAGGTTCATTTCAGTGACATCTAGTGGTGAAATATAGTATATATTTATGTATATTTAAATATAGGGTCCGTGTGTCCTCCCCCAGAAAAAATTGGAATAAAAGAGATGCCATTTCCTGCATTTTGGTGTATTTTAACAGGTTGTTAAACATTTGAATAAACTGGTTAAAAACAGGTCTCTCTTGACGAGGCTCAAGGCTAAACCTGTATAAATAAAGGTTGAATTGAAATTACTATTTTAGAGAGCAACAATTAACAAGCCTGTGTATGAATGACAGTCTGTCAGGTGTCCTAACGCCCCCCCCCACACACACCCCCGACCTGAACTCTTCTCAGCTGAATTCAGTCCTGTGTGTTCTGCTCCAATTTCACTGCCATCCATCCATTTATTTTAGATAAATTGTCTTTTCAACATTTTGGTCGCTTTGACTAATTAGTGCTGTTGTTTTGATACTTGATGTAATACACATCAAACATTTCACTCGTTTTTTTGTTTTACTGTAAGCTTATTTATTATGTCTGAAATGTTATGCACTGTAATGTATGCAGGAGTTCCGACAGCAGTTGTGTTTGCGTCCTGCAGAGTTGTCTGGAGACGCTGTGCGTAAAACAACTGGCTCAGGGCGCACAGCTGGAGGAGGATGAAGACGCTCCCTGCAGGACATGCAGTCCGTGTCTCTGCTGGCAGGAGCGTGGCGCGGACAGAACATCCACTCGTTGTACTTTTAATAAATAATCAAAATAAAAATGCGCAATGACTTTGGACTTTTAGGGGCGGAGTTGGCGGATCTGAGCGGTCAAAATTATAGAGTTCCAGGATCTTGTTCTGACAGGATCCGACTCAAATGAACCACTATCTGAATATAAAAAACAAGAGCTGTTTTGTAACGTATAATACGTGAAGAACGGGGATGTGAACCGGGGCTTGAGCCATCTTAAATACACTGAATCGCACCAAATGATTGAAACTCCGCCCGTCAACTCAAAGCAGTCAGCTGACTCGGTCTGAATGAAGCAGTGAAGTGGTTCACACGTCATTGGTGACGTCACTTGAAGCACGCTCCGGCCCAATGCTTCACCATAACTACCCTATCGAGTTTGAAGCGTGCTTTGAAGCTTCGGTGTTAGAGGTAACATCACTAGATCCAGTAGATCCTCACAGTCAAATCCCAACAAAGCAGCATCTTGTTACAAGGACCTGTCCTGTACCTCCAACACCATGGAGTTGAACTCCTTGTCCTTGTACAGCTGCCTGGCACAAGCCAGGATCGCAGAGGTTTTTCCTGTTCCAGGGGGGCCGTAAAACAACAGGTGGGGAAGCTTGTCCTCGCTGATAAACCTCTGGACTAAAGGGATTGAAACAAATAAAACAAAGAGTGTGAATAAGATTCAGATTATTCTGAAACACTATTACTTTCAAACTTAAGGTTTTAACATTTATAAATAAAAACTAACAGCAAGCATGCACAAGAAAAGCCGCAGGCAGCCTGCAGAGATTGGTATCCCCACACACTTAATTCCTTAAAGGTTTACTGTGTTACAGCTGTAGATTACAGATTACAAAGTAGTTTTACTTTAGAGGTACACATACTTACTGGTGCTTAGAATATCTTTGTGAGAGATTAACTCATCAAGTGTTTGTGGTCTGTATTTTTCCACCCTGGAACACAAAGCAGACAGTCCACTAGTGTTAATGATAACATTATATTCTTACAGGTTTTTAAGACTTTGGTAACTGAACACATCCAACTCAACAGGAAAGTAACTTCCTATCACAGCAGATCGATGTAAATTAACTAGATTTAATCATGTTCTGTCCTTTTTAATACATTATCTATCAAACACAATGACATTGTTTCAAGGGTCTCCAACCATTTTGTAAATAATTAAAAGTTACTTTAATCACAGACGAACAGAAACTGTAAACCCATTAGGATGGATGTGTTAGCTAGCAGCTAGCGCTAACAACTTTTTAACGTAACCGCGGTAAACATTAGCTTTCTAACTCACCAAGGTAAATTTCTGCTTTGCTGCGGTGCTTTACTTGTAGACGCCATGAGCGCAGTTCACTGTGAATATATCAAAACTCAGAGGTAGATTCTTAGCAGTATTTTTGCTGCTAGGTTTACGATGGACGCTAGTCCTTGTTTCCCGCCCTCAGAAACAAACGTAGCTCCAAACGTCATGACGTACAACCAATAGCATAACGGTTCATTTTGTGGGTGGAGTCACAGTGCACACTGTAAGAAATATGTCTTCAAACTCATAATAATAATATATATTTTTGAATCAATAAATCAATATAAAGCTATAAAACATCAACTATTTAGTTAACTCCATGTTCCTAATTTTATCTTACTTGCAGTAATGTGTAATGAAATGAGGATTTCACATTTAAAGAAGAAACGTTTAGACAATATTTAAACTTCTTTGAAATGTGAATTCTTAAAATGAAGTATTGATGCCTACCTTAGTGTGAGTTGTCCCACTCCAATAGCTTTATTATGATTTAATAGGGGGGAAAACAAGAGAATGATGTGTCAATAAAAAAGAGATTTTTTTTAAAAAGCTTTAAAGTTAACTAAAGTCAATTAGTAAAAGTTATCTGTCTAAGGAAGCCAACAGATTGCGCTGAATCTTCACTTTGTCGCAGTCTTTCGTCCTAAGCAAGCATAGTGGTAACAGTGGAAAGGAAAATCTCCCTTTTAACAGGAAGAACTCTCCAGCAGAACAGGGCTCAGGACGAGCAGTCATCTGGCTTCGACCGGCTGTGGTTCAGGAAGGAGAAGCAGACAAACACAGAATGGCAGGTCCAGGTGAATTTTCTATTGGAGGAAAGACAAAAAACACATGTTAAATATATAAATAATTACAAATACAAACAGAGCAAATAAAGACAGCAGCAGAGTGAGGAATGTGGTCAATTTGTCCTCCAGCAGTCCAAGCCGATAGCTCAGGAAATCCAAGCCGACACTAACTATAGGATTTATCAAAAAGGAAAGATTTAACCCTAATCTTAAAGTAGACAATGTGTCAGCCTCATGAACAGAAGGTTCCACAAGAGAGGAATCTGAGAACTGGAAGCTCTATTCTACTTTTGGAAACTCTAGAAATTGCATGTAAACCTGCAGTCTGAGAGTAAATTGCTCTGTTTGGAAAGAATGGAACAATAAGATCTGCAATATAAGATGGAGCTAGGTTATTGAGAGCTTTGTATTTTAGAAGTAAGATTTTGAATTCTATTCTGAATTTGACAGGGAGCCAAATCCAAAATGGGTTCATTAATTAGGGTTTGGAGTAAACTATTAATTTAGATAATTCAGAGAGCTCAACAGGACAACAGCAGTCCAAACATAAATCAGGTTAGTGACATTTTTAAAGCTGCCTCATCTCATTCTTCAAGGTGTTTCGGTTCCATCTGAGAGATTTCTGGAAATGAGAAGAAGCAAAACTTCTTCCAAAAGAAAAAGTCTAATTTCCTTTGATCGTCAGGATAACCAGTTAACCACCTTCTAGATGTCTAAAAATTTGAACTAGCAATTGAAGTATTTCATATATACTACTTTGTATCTTAAAAGCCCAATAGCCTAACAAAAAGCTATCACAAGGCTAGCTACAAGCTAAAGGTAGCGAAAAGCTTGTTAAAAGCATCAAAGAAACGAGCTAGAGGTCAAAAGTAGCAAAAGACTATAGCACCAAGCTATAGCAGAATGATGTAAAATTAAAATTCAAGTTTATTGTCATTCGCAACATGTGATACATAAGGTGGAACAAAATTATGTACTCAAGGTCCAGTTGCACCCCAAAATAGCAAAAATACAAAGTAGAAAAAGAAAATCATATAAGGATCTAATAAGATATGCTAAACACTAATAATGTAAAACAATACGGTGTAACAACAGCAGCCTGAACATGTGACAAAAGGAAGACAAAAAATAAAATAAAAGAATAATGAATTAAGTTTAAAAGATGTGTTTTCTGAGTATAGTTCTGTGGAAAGGACAATAGTAAATGTATCAGTCAGCCCTCTGTAACAGCAAGTGGCCATGGGGGCACTAACGATCGGCCGTTAGGCTGATGGTCCTTCTTTTATTCTAGAAATGCGCAGCTCGGGGTGGCTGCATGTTCCGTTACTTTCATTCTGAGTTGTTGCTTTCGAAAACTTTAATTCCTCTTTTGTCTGGATGTAAATCACTTCATTAGGATGATTATTTCCTCTGATGCTGTGCAGCTGGAAGAACTTTTACTGAAACCTTTTTACTTTTGGGCGTTTGTTATGATGCGTAACCATGGCAACAAGGTGTTTTTTAACAACCAGGAGCAGCTGGATTAACATCTCAAAAGCTCATATACCTCAACTACAGGCCCAAATCCCAAATGAGTTGAAAAGGAGGCACCGTGGACAAATTCCCATCAACCTGGCGGTGGTGCTCGAACACCTGACTGCAGAGATCCTGGAGCTGGTGGGAAACTCGGCTCGTGACAAAGGGAGGACTGGGATCATCCTCTGGCACCTTCAGCTGTCTGTCCGTGGTGACGAGGCGCTCTGCAGACTGCTGGGAGGAGTGACCATCGCTCAGGGAGGAATTCTGCCCGGCATTCGTGCAGTCCTGCTGCCCAGGAGGACCGAGAGGCCCGCCGGATCTGACAGCAAGCTGGATCTGGGTGGACGGATCAGTTCTGTGGCCATATTCTTTGGCTTCGCTGCAGGAGATCCTTCCTGCCCACAGCTATCAGCATCTATAAGAACTCTTGAATGAAACCAGGATGACACATAATTTCCCTTTGGGATTAATAAAGTATTTTTGAATTGAATTTTACATGTGCACAACTCTGGGTGTCACCATCAAACCGGCTGATCCACTATATGAGAAGGTGCTGCTTAAGACTGTTTGTAGTTGTTCTCGGATAATTAACGTTATTAACTTACATTTTTAATATATATGAATGTGTCAGTGTCCTGAGACGACTTCTGCTGTGGCGCTATATAAAAAACTCACGATTGCATGAGTAAATATTGTTAAATATTTTGCTCTTACAAAAAACAAAGGTCATACCGGATTGAGCTGAACATCTGGAATGGCTAAAACGGCACAAGCTGCAAAAAAACATTTAAAAAAAGCAGCTAAATCAAACCACAAAGCACAAAAATAACATCACAAATAATGTTTTTTTTTTGGTCAAAATAGAGTAAGGACATTTCTGTCGGACTTGTAGAAGAGTTTAATTTAATGTGTTTATTTACTTGTGCTCCAGGCCTGACTGAAGCTCTCCGCGCTTTCTCGCGAGAGCGGCCGCTCTCGGCGGAGCCGCTGCGCTGCTGTTGCTGTGGGTTTGATTGACAGGAAACATGTCGGTGTGGCGCGGCCGAACCGGGATGCTGCTGCTGCCAGGGGAGACACGGAGGATCCAGACCCCACATCAGCACCTTTAAAGGGTTTCCCTCGTTTTCAACCCGTCTGAGGATGAGGCGCTGAGCAGCATCCTCTTTTTTTTTTTTTTTTTTAATCTTTCTTTTTTTATTTATTTATTTTCTTCCTTTTATCGGAGAGAGGCAGGAGCACCGGATGGATGCTGAGGCAAACCGTGTCGTCCCGCTCGGTGTCTCCATCACATCTGGGTTGATTTAGTCCAGAGACACCTGGATGATCCAGCATCTATAGGAGGACTGGTTTCAATGGAGTCACGGCTCAAACCCTGATTCTGAAAAAAAAAAAAAAAAAAAAAGCCACAACATTCATGGCGTTTTGCAGGTTGCACACCGTGGGCTCCTCCACGTTCCTTTTTATAAATTAATCTCTTTCCCCCTCCCCTTTTATTTGGATTTTTTTTTAAATAATTTATTTTACAAGTGCAAAGGGAAAAACAAGGTCCACTGGTCGCCAAACTATGAACGAGGAGATGACAAAAAGCGAGGAGCAGCGTCTGAGTTTGCAGAAAGCCTTGCAGCAGTGCGAGTTGGTGCAGAACATGATCGACATAAGCATTTCCAGTTTGGAGGGTTTACGGACCAAATGTGCCACATCCAACGACTTGACACAAAAAGAGATACGAACGCTGGAGGTAAGCACTGTTATTTATTTATTTGTTTATTTATTTATTTATTTGTTCCTGCACTCGGTGCGTCTTCTCCATCAGCGCGGAGGGCTGTCACTGCTCTTTCTAGGCCACTCTGCATATTTATGTGTGCCTTTCCAGCGCATTGTGCTGTCATGGCAATAATATGCAAAGATTCCTGCTTTTAAAGCCCCAGTCTGTGCGTGTTGTGTGTGCAGCGCAATAAATCTGGAGGGCCACGGGAGCTGCAGTGGCACTTGCGCATGATTCTGCAGGTGGCGGTGGATAGAAAGGTGGCTCCTCTCCATCAGAATAAAGTGTGAGGCCTGCATTGTGTTTACAATCCATTACCAGCACATAGACGCAGCCCTGCGCATCTGTCACAGCTCAGACCCCGCCGTTATTACGCAAGGCGGACAGATTGTTGATAAAAAAAAAAAAAAAAAGGTAAATAAATAAATAAATAAAAGTTAATTAGCCGGTGGGGTGTTCCGTAAATTGCGTTGCGTAATGCCCAGTGTTTCCGCGTCCGTTTTCAGACCACTTAAATCAGACCCCGCCCTCTTTTCAGGCACTTTCAGGACAATAAAACCCTATAATCATAAGGTCAGATCTGCAGAGCAGCACAGCATTAACATGTTTATTGTCTGGGGAGATTAAAGACACTCATTGCATGCTAAACACATAAAGGTTGAGCTTTATCAAGTGGTGCAGATATATTAACGAGATTCTAAAATGTGGGTACGCACTCAGTGTAAACAAAGCACTTTTTATGTTACTCAACAAACCTGGGCGTAAACGTAACGCATCAAAATAGTCTGACGTCTCCATCCCAAACAACTTTTGTCTGTTTCTGTAGATAAACAGAGAAACACGGAAGTGAACTCAAATTTAGCTTATTTTAAGAACAGTCCTCCATTTTTTTGAACTGGTCTCCCTTAAAGCAAACACCTTTACACCATTACATTGAATGTCATTCTGAAATGCAGGTCTGCACTCAACATAAACAAAGCATTAGACCAAATCAGCTGAAAACCACAAACATTAGTTGCAATCAGTAAACAAAACAGCTGTAAAGTTTAGTGTTACACTTTTTGTCACTTCAGCTGTTTCAAACAAACTCTTGTATAGACATTTACAAATTTTGTTCATTGTTTTTTAACTCGAGGGCACAATAATAATTTACAGGAGGAAAAAAACTGTGCTGATTTTTATTTTTTTTTGTATTTTTTGACGGTCTTCATATCGTTTCAACGAGCACCTTTAAAGCAAACACCACCGAGTGCAGCAAAGTGCCCCATAAAGCCACCACTGCAGTACATCAGAACACTTATATCTGAGATGTTGCATAAAAGAACAACACGCCATGAAGTCACCTGCGAGCGTCTCATCCCGCAGGAATACAAAGGTGTTTTCACTGCGTTTGTCTGAGATGTAAAGTTTCCAGGTGATGAACAGGAGACAGGTGCGATGGAGAGCTAATGTTGCTGGCAGCACTTAGCGAGAAGATGAATGTACTCCCTGGCTGACTGGCAAAGCATTATGGGTAGTTGCTGAAGGAATTACAGTTACATATGCATATTTTTGTAATGTTAAGATTTTAAAACATCTGAAGGATTTTAGTGACGGTGATCTGATGTGCACCAAGCAAAGTTTCCACAGAGTATAATATTTGTTCTGTTTACGTCGTTGACGCGCACATCTGTTCCAGATGTTTTGTGCACCCAAAGCAGGGTCTCTGCAAGCTGCAGCTCTTGGGCCACATGTAGCTCTTTGGTCCCTTTGGACCTTTTAAGAATGAATATTTTTATTCATAAACACACACACACACACAAAGGCTATTTTAAAAGCAACGTTCTTTTCCCATTGTATGAAAATCTGGGAATAAAACCTTTATGTCAGTCTGATATTAATAATACAAGGAATAAAACATTTATTACTTTGTCAGTAGTTTGTGCAACTTTCACTGGAGCGGTTTGCTGCAGAGTGTGACGCAGCCGGGATGAGGATCAGTTCCTCCAAATCCGAGGCCATGGTCTTGAGCCGGAAAAGGGTAGAGTGCCCTCTCTGGGTTGGGGAGGAGGTCCTGACCCAGATCAACGAGCCACCTCCACTGGCTCCTCTCGACGTGGAGAAGCAGCAGCTCTACTCTGAGTCCCTCCTGGATGACCGAGCTTCTCACCCTATCTCTAAGGGAGGGCCCAGACACCCTGCGGAGAAAACTCAATTCAGCCTCTTGTATCCGAGATCTTGTTCTTTTGGTCACAACCCAAAGCTCATGACCATAGATGAGGGTAGGAACGTAGATCGACCGGTAAATTGAGAGCTTCCCCTTTTGACTCAGCTCTCTCTTCACCACGCCGCACCTATCCACCTATCGATCTCGCTCCATTTCCCCCTCATTCGTGAACAATACCCCAAGATACTAAACTCCTCCTAGTGGTTAGGATGCCTCCTGGACGCCTCCCTGGTGAAGTGTTCCAGACACGTCCCACCGGGAGGAGACCCAGAGGTCTCACCCACAGCTGGAGGGACTATATGTTTCTCGGTTGGAACGCCTTGGGATTCTCCTGGAGGAGCTGGCCCAAGTGGCTGGGGAGAGGGAAGTCTGGGCCTCCCTACTTAGGCTGCTACCCCCGAGACCCGACCCCGGATAAGCGGAAGAAAATGGATGGATGGATGGATGGATAGTAGTTTGTTAGCCTGTTAGCTGTTTTATTAATCCAACTTTCAGCCACATAGATCTTCCTCTATAATCCATCCATCCATCCATCCATCCATCCATCCATCCATCCATCCAT